TCAATGAATCCCTATTGACACCATACGTGGCGCCAGCCTTTCCGAACCAGGAACGACCGCCACCACCGCCCCCAGACTTAATTGATGACGAAAAACACTACGAAATTGATCAAGTCTTAAACCACAAACTCCGAAAAGTGAAAGCCCATGGGGGAGGCATGACGACGACGGTTGATTACCTCGTAAGTTGGAAGGGTTATGGCCCGGAATCCAACCAATGGATCAACGAAAAATATATGAACGCCGACACAGCCATACACGATTATGAACTCTCCCTTAATTAAACCATCGGGACGATGGTCTTAACGAGGGGGTAATGTTACGATTTTTCCATTTCTTTTCCTTTTTTACCCCTATTTATGCTTAGTCATAGCACGAGACCATGGGAAGGGCTCGGTAAGCACAACCATGCCGCCTAGATACAACAACGCTCGACGATGCACAATTACCCTTTTATGTACGACAACGATGCTCAAGGACAATGGGCACCATGGACACAGAACAACACAATAAGTAGTCGTAATATTAGCACCATTTGTACAGTATTTAAGACCGACCGCTCTCGCTGGTATACCCCAGCTTCGAGCTAAAGTTTATACACCACCATTCTACCTCGAGTCTATATCTGACCTTGAGTCACACCGACCGGATATACATATAGTGAACTCAGGTGATTCCTCGAAGTGCGAAGGAACATCTGTTTATCACGTGTATCAGTTCACGTGACGCTTGGGCTTAACAATTGTGGTATAGTTGGTGGCTGCATGCCTCAGTATTTCTATCCTTTTGTTAGGTGTAGAATGAAGATACAATTGTCCTATTTATGATGCTACCCATGTAGTATCACACTATAAAAAGTTTATCTCTCACAAGTAGAACTCCTGGTACTCTTGTGCTCTTACCTTCTGTATTGTCCTTTCCAATTCTTCTTTATCCATGTCTTCTTATAATCTATAAGCCAGTTCTCCACTGGTGTGAAATAGGTTGCTACTCTCAGTTTCTTTGTTGTCTTCATTGTCTCTTTCTTCTTCAAGAAAAGAACTGGTGGGCAGGTTGTAGAAACTCTCTGCACTCTCTTGCAGTCATGCAGTCATTCCACCATCTTAGCTGGATACTGGGTCCAGCTGTGGGGCCTGAGGTTTCTGAAGCATTAATATAGATAGAGGCCAGCTGGCTTCTAATATTGGGGTCATACCAGTTTCTCTTTATTGCTCTCACTGCCTTCACTTGCTCATAATAAAGCTGGATGTTTCATTGGTATCCATCATTGAGTAACTGCCTGACCACCCTGCTACCAAGAAACTCTCAGAGTGCATGGGCAGAGATGTGAGCAGTCTCAGAGACTCATAATCTATAGTGTCTATAAACAGACTCGTCATCTCTGAATGTAGTGTTAGCACTAGAGGTTCATCAGAAAGAGGGATATTGTGAGGTTGGAGGATATGGAGGAGTTTCTCCTGCTGTGATAGTCTTGTTTTGCTAGTGGTTTTTGCTCTAGGGGTTGAAGTTAGTGCTGAGCTCTTGGAATACTGAGGTTGAGAGAGACCAGTCAGCATGTACTAGTGCAAGTATGGATGCACCCTTGGGCCAGAGTCCATACCAGTTGGTGATATTGGCCCTTTCCAATTGAGCCCTTTTGACTTCTCACTGCTCTCTCTGATGCTGTCTGTCATACTCTATAGCTTTCTATCTCCACCTGCCATTCTCAATGATGTGCTCCTTAAGCTCACTGTGAACTGACTGTGGTGTGGTTTGCTGTCTCTGCTCTTCTTGTCAGAGGGCCTCATCATAGTCGAAGAGGATATTAGTGTCCCAAATGAGGAAATATCAATGTATGATTTTGTCTTGAGCTTTTCAGTTTTGATGCTTGTCATCAAGCCAGTCTGAGGGTGCTCTCCTCAGCCTACTGCTAGTCCTGACCAAGTGAAAGATGGAGGAGGTGAGGCTGTGAAGCTGTCTTCAAGAAGATGCTTGATAGAATCTTGTAGCCAACTAAGCCACATCAAGAGAATCTCTGGCACAGTCAGCAATCCCTTTGGTTCAAGAGACAGTGGTAGGATTGGAGGAGGGAGACTGCTGAAAGAAGTCTTCTGGAATCTCCTCATTCTTGTGGTCAGGTGGGGATCCTGAGACCCATGGGTTTCAGAATCCTGCAAGATGAGGGTCACAGTTTCTACTGGGTCATCAAGGGGGGTATCAGTGTCTTTCTTCTTGAATATCTCCTTGATGTGGACTGCTAGGCTCAGCTTCTGATAAGAGGCTTGTTGGGGGCTGGTGGAATGTTCATCAGGACTTAGGGATATTATGGAGCAGAAGGTCTGAAGTTATGTTTCATAAGATATATTGAATATGTTGAAACTCGTTATAGTGTCTGATTGCTCAGACAGTGATTGAATGATGTCTCTGGCACAGCTGGATGATCACCAACAATCTCAACAATATTCTGATGATGGAAGAGAGGAGTTCAAAGAACTCTTGGTCAAAGTTTAAGTCTGATGAATTGATAGAGAGCATTTGGTTTTCTCTGCACTAACTGGCATGAGAAAAGGGAAGAATAAGCTTTGAGCTAATTGTTAGACTCAAGCATCACATAAACTGATTATATGTGATAAATGACTGCTATCTCGTACTTTGGGTAAAATGATCAAGTTCACTGATGCATAATCTGAATAGTATGTCACAAGGCCTAAAGATATAGCTCGAGGGTGGAATGAGATAGAATAAACTTTAGCTAGAAGCTGGGAATTACCAGCAAGAGCAAGCAATCTTAAATACAGTACAAGGTCTGCTAATAATACTATAGCTAATTGTATGTCTCTGGGTTCATTGTCCTCATTGTCTTAGGGCATCGTTAACATACATAAAAGCTAGTTGTGCATTATCAAGCAATGATTGCATCAAAAGACAATGACAGACTTGGCTAGTGATAATAACTCAGCCTTGTTCCATGGTCTTAAGCATCTGTTTTAGTGCTCTGACTAAGCATAAATAGAGGTTGATCGAATAAAAGAATGGAAAATTGTAACAATGATGCTCAAGAGCTTAAAGAAGTTTGATGTGAGGTCAAAAGTTGAGGGCATTCAGTTTCCTTCACACTGGTGTGCATAAGAAAAGGGAAACAAGAAGCTTTGAGCTAATTATTAGACCCACTTAGCATGTGATTCTTAGCACATGATAAACCAATGCTGTATTGAGTTCATATAGTCACATTGGATTTCACTTCTAATATGCTTTTGGCATGCATCAAGGCTTTTAACAGATTTAAGCTTGAAAAAAGAAGAGTGGTATGAATAAACTTTAGCTCAAAGCTAAAGTACTACAGCAAGAGCTATTCTACTTATATATATTTTACACAAGATAAATATAGTCCTCTGCTTGTTATGTATTTCTATACTATTGTGTCATAGCTGTCTGATCATTGAGTGCAGGATAATAGAGTATTGTCTATTGGCAAGATATCCATTGCATGTTGAAGGATAATAATGAGAGCTGTCTATTGTGATCAAGTAATTGTCTCATGGTCAATAAGCACCTTAGATAAGATAGACACTCTGATAAGATAAGATAGAATAATGCCAGAAAAAGATACAATAGCAGAAAAATCATAACAATCACTTGTTCCTATTCTTTTCAATCATCACTCATTCTTATTTACTATACCTTTCAATTGTCACTTGTTTCTACTTACTATATATATACACAACTTCTGTCATTACAACTGCCTATATGGTCTGACTGTAGATATCCATATACCTCAGTTGTTTTGTCTATGCTATGCCTGACTGAAAACTCTACTTATACTCTTTCATCAATACAAAGGCCTTCAGGACACCATCAGCCTCAAGAACATTGATGATATTGCCCACATGGTCTCAATAAACAGTGTGAGAAAGAATAGATCACTCATAGTACTCAACAGATACTTGTGGAACCTCTTTGATATCTTTGACTACATTAGCTCTATGCTCCTCCATCATGCCACTTGTATGTGATCAATTTTTAGTGTGATGACAGTGCCAGGGTGTTTCTTGTATGTTCTGCAAGAGTTTGTTGGTAATTTCACATGCAGAGTTCATCAGTTGGATGATCTTCACAACGCCAGACTTGAGACTTGCAGAAGGCAAGAGAGAGTGGGGCAGCTCAGAAGTGTAGCTGTCCATAGCAGAAAGTGAACAATAGAGAAGTAAGGAGCATCAAATGCACACAATCTTTATAATCGTGACTCAAATATTCAAATGCAGCACTTTCATGGGACAACTGACAGTGATGGACAAGGACAAGTTTGTTTACATTGTAAACACACTTGATCGAGACCCGGCCTATGTATTATGTCACTAAAGTTTGTCCAATTTTTGGTTTTCATGGACACAGATAAATTGTCTTCGTATCCGAAATAAATTTCTTTGCTGCTCCCTGAAGAGCATTTCCCAGTCAACCGCCACGGTAGAACCATCAACTTCAAATCGGTGACAAGTCTGAGCATCGAATCTAAATATTTCATCGAGAACATCACAATAGGCGCTTAGATCCTTCCTTTCCTCTGGAAACACTGAATGGCATTTGTGCAGTGGGGGTTAGCTAAGAGTGCTACTCTAAGATTTAGGTTGACCTGCTACTCTTCCCATGTCATCAAGATGGTTGTATGAAAAAATCGCCAGACCCGGGATCTTCCAAACGTCGACACCGGTTGCTTCGCAAAGCTATCATTTTTGGCGTACCGTGACTGACCATCGTGTAGCAGACTTTGGAAGCAGCGGCGGAAACAGTAATATCTCTCTCTGAAGTTTCTCAATTTCCTCGTTGCATGCTTTGCTTAGCACTTCCTCAACGGATGACACCAGTCGGTGGAAGCTTCGAAAGTACAGACACCCACAATGGCCGAGTAAATGAAAAATGACATTGGATAGCAACCTAGAAAGTATGAAAGCAAGATAGAGTAGTGTGTGTCGGATTCTGTGGGATTCTGACATGGTGGAGGGGTTCATGCAGTCCAGTCAGTTCTAGGAACCTGGCGAATCTAACGGCAGTTGGACGAACTTCCTCCCCACCCGCTCAACTTTATGGAAGAACAATGGTTCAAGATAACCACTCTCATTCCCCGGAGTCAGTACCACACCATTCTTCGAGAGATAAAACTTGATTCCCGCCTCCAGAGCTTTCGCGATGTCGATGTAGATGAGTATTCTTGATGAATCCCTTATGCCTGGTATGATGTGAGTTTTGCCAGTCTCTTGTTCGGAAATGTCCCCACCGCTGACAACGCCGTCCGTATCGAACCCTTGGGCGAGGTGGATGTGGTTGCGCGTCATGCGTGAGATACCATGGACGGCTATATATCTGAGTCAACGGAAAGGAAAACAACGCAGCCTCTATGACACACCTATTGTTTTCCAGGCCTTCTCTGTAGTACCATGTATAGCCATGGGGATATTCGCGGCTGACAGTATAGGCTCCAGGTCAAGTTGTACCGTCTATCTCATTGAAATGAAGTCAGGACACATCCGTTGGCGTAGGTGGGCACACACCGATACTGAATGGCCCTGCGTCGCGCTGATCCACCAATGCTCTACCGACAGTGAGTCCGTGGTCACTTTATCCACTGTGGGGTCAAGCATAAGATGATATCTCCCCTTCGCATCCTCTTTGACTACCCGCTCCAAGGTCATAAAATCAACGCTTTTGAGCATTGGGTGTTTCAACTAGGAGCGAAATTCAAAGAGGAGTCACGTATATTTTTCCATACGACTTACAAGGTCCGTGACACGCACATACCCGTCTGAACGCATAGGCATACCTTCTAGCAAGGCACCGTGTCGGAGGAGGTAGGACATCGTCTTGGATATTTGCACACGAGTAATGTCGGGACCATGCCCCTTTTCTTCGCCCCGGTAGCCTTTCCGAGGGCGCCTTTTCGGTGTTGCAAGAATGGGGGCAGCGGTGGTAAGCTGTCGATATAAGATATGGGCTGAACATGGCCCTGGTAGTCGTTGCATGAGCAGTCTCTTAGTCAGCAAGGGGGAATCCGAGGGTCACCACCAATCTTTTTCTACTGTTCGTCGTGTTGTTCACCCAATAATTACAGATCTACCAAAGGAATAACGCTAATAGTCCAGTATATTGCACATAGTTTATATTACACGTTTTACCTCGAAGAATGACTGGCACCAAGAATAGGTAACACTTCGAAACGAAGGGACGAAATAGCTCACCTTGAGATAGTAAACCTGCCATGCAACGACTGAAAATAGGACAATAGCCTGTAGCACGGACCACCATTTTACGCGGGAGTTGGTAGATTCCGCAGTGTTTCGATGTGTGCGTTCTCGTACAACAATGTACTCTTGTTCGTCCTTTACGGCGGCAAGTCCACTGGCTAACAGGCGAATTTCTCGTTCAATAGGCGCGACGACGTCTTGAAAAAGAGTCAGGAAAGATGACAAGTTGATAGCAGGTTACGAACCATCTTCCCCAACATAGATGACACCGTGAACGTTGAAGCTAGACACCAAGGATGTTGAGAAGATAAAAACCAAAAGGTCGCAGAATACACGCACCTAACAAGCTTGTCGGCGATAGCGCTCATTTGGTTGGAGAAACAGTATTCGTGTCGGCCGTCTTTTTCTGCGGTTATCGAAAGAGAGCCAGTAGATTGCTTGACTTGCTTTCCCAGGACACCTCCACCAGGGCCCGTTAGCTGTTCAAAGGAATGAGAGACGAGAGTGTACAGGGTCGGTTGCCGCACCCAAAAGTCAATATCCAAATGTCCTCCTCCGCCGACTTGGTATGTCACTGTCATCTAGCTCACAGTAAGCGGGGTCTGAACCAGTATAAGACGGCGCACCTTATCTTGTTTATGCAAGTCCTCGAAGAAACACTCCTTCTTGCCAGCGACGACATCAATCATATGGGCCTGAACAGCAGTAATGAAAAGAAACAGAGCCAACCACGCATTAAGGAGGCATTGGGTATATGTTGGACGAGACATGATGGTAAAGAATGAGACAAGGAGTCGTGGCAACAAATGGGAGGTATCGGGGGGTCTTCCTTTTTTGGGGTACTTTGCCCTTTTGGTCCTTTTGTTTTTGTGCTTTCATCTTGTGCTGGTCCATTCTCCTTAAATCGCATTTTTATCATGGCAAGCACTGAGCAGGAGAGCGTCTTCACAAAGGCACGTATCCTCTTCTCCCTCTCTGATCAATGGGGATCCTCTTTGTTTTCGCAATCCTGACACCCATCGTCTCTGCAGGAAGAAGAGACCGATGTCCACTTTGAGCCCGTTATCAAGCTCACTGAGCAGGTGGACACGAAAACAATGGAGGAGGACGAGGATGTGCTCTTCAGGATGTGAGTAACGTCCAGGCCACTCTATCCTGCAGCTTTGCTGAACAACGTCCGGCGGCCACTTCCCAGGCGCGCAAAGCTCTTCAGATTCGATATTTCGTCATCAGAGTGGAAGGAGCGGGGCACCGGCGATGTCCGTTTATTGGCCCACAAGGAGACCAAGAAAGTCAGACTCGTGATGAGACGTGATAAGACGCTCAAAGTCTGCGCCAATCACGCCAGTCAGTTCATCCACCCACTCATCGATACAACTCGCCCTAACGCGTACTTTCCTAGTCACATCCGATATGCGCCTCCAACCGAATATCGGATCTGACCGTTCTTGGGTCTGGAAGGTTGCTGCAGATTATGCAGAGAGCCCTCCGACCGCTGAGACACTTGCTATCCGATTTGCTAACTCTGAGAGTACGTGATCAGCGATATTTGTCTCTTCTCCATCTCATCACTGCCTGTAGATGCTGGCCAATTCAAGGAAAAGTTTGAAGGAGCGCAGAAGGCAAATGCATCTCTATCTGCTGCTGCTGAAGCTGAGCCTGCCAAAGTTGAAGAGCTTGTGAAGGTGGAAGAGAAAGTGGAAAAAGCATCGGAAGAGAAGAAGGAACAGACCGAGGAAGTAGAGGAAGAGAAGAAAGACGAGGACAAGAAAGAGGATTAATCCGATGTCGACGAAATGTATATCCCGTACGAACCTGTGATTTTTACTAGTATGATCCATTAACGTTGTGTGTTCTGCAAAGCGTCGTACTAAGTATATCATTAAATATTACACTAATGTCTACAATCCATATGTACGCAAATACAATGTCCCCGCTACGAGCTTTCCTTTGCCCTACGACCATATGCGGCTTCCTCTGCTGCCCAAGCTTTCAAAAAGGCTACAGCAGCACCTTCACTTCTCTGCCAATACAAGGCACTTGTCTTCCCCTTTACAATGTCTTCCGTTATCAGAACATGACGAATGTCCTGATTATATCTTGTCAGTCAGTCAACCTGTCGTCCAACGCAAGACACCTACCGATCCCCTGTAAAGACTGTCAGCGCATGCGTTCGTATAGAAAACAGGTAAGAAGGCTTACGGAACTTCGTACATCGGATCCAGCAACAAGTTCTCCTGAAGAACTGATCAGAGTCACACTGATTAGAAAACCAATTAACAAACCATAATACCCCTCAATCCTCTTGCTCCACCACCTTTGTCTGCCGCCTTCCGGCATATCTCATCAATTGCGGCACTTGTAAAACGTATATCGACACCGGAATAGCCGAACAGAGCCTGGTACTGCGACATCAAAGATCCTTTGACCTCCGTCAATATCCTCCGCAAGTCGGGTATTGTCAGTGGTGCCAAGGTCGTGATGGATGGTAGACGGGATATGAACTCGGGTATGAAGCTGTGAGAAAACATCAGACCACAAACCTCTAATTAAGACCATGGATTTCTACCCATATTGTACTAGATCTGGATCAAAGTGTATGAGAGGATTTTCGTATGAAATCGCGTATTTGTCACTCACCGGGTGTCTCCACCAACTCCAAAATGGTCGCATTCGCCTTTCGATTGGGGGTGAAAAAAGGAAGAGCAGGGCCGCCGTCTTCAGACGTGCTGAACCCTATTGACTGGAGAGTGTTTCAGACGGGGCAGGTGATGAAGAAAGGGAGGAACTAACAGCTTTGGATACCCGCTGTCTCACAATCTTGTCCAAATTGACGAATGCGCCGCTTAATATGAACAGCACATTCGAGGTATCAATATGGTATATATCATTCTTGGCTGCTGGAATGGCGTGAATGAAGGAACAATTGCTATGGCATGTAACACACGGGCGACAGAGGGACTCGGCGCGCCTTGTCCATTTCTAGATTGCGTCTCAGGAGGAGGGTGCGCCTCGCCGCCTTTGATTTGGACGGTGACCACGGAACCCTCCATCATACGGAGGAGTGCTTGTTGAACGCCCTCTCCGGACACGTCTCTCGAGCCCTCCATACCTGACCCATTTCGCCGAGCAATCTTGTCAATCTCGTCTATGTACACGATACCCATGCTGATAGAATGTAACAAAGGTCAAGTCCAGGGTCGCTACTAGAGAAAATAACAAACCTTGCTCGCACTGGGTCATAATTCGCGTCTTGTAACTGAGGACGTTTTCTATGTAGGAAATAAGTTGCTGAGACAATAATGGACGTACTAGTCTTTGTATTGCCATATCCACATCCTCGCCGACATCTATAAGGTGTTAGGAGAAGGACTTGACGGATTCAATGAGCTTACATCCGGCCTTAGAGCGATATATGAGCAAAGTTCCAAAAAGATGAGCGCGTTCATACCTGAGTGAACGATGTTGCGTCGCTGACTGAGAATGGAACGTCGAGAACGTTGGCGAGTGTCCGGGCCAAAAGAGTTTTTCCTTATTACGCTATGAGTCTCACAAAATAAAGAAGTTTCTGTAAAGACGATACCTGATCCTGTAGGTCCTCTAAGACAACGGTGAGGAGTTGTAGTCAATGCATCGGGCGAACAGGGCATACATGACTAGCACATTGCTCTTCTCAAATAATGGGAATGGTGCGTGAGACATGAAGGATGAAGCGTTGGTTGTCGGTTTACGTATAGGGCGTACATTCGTTGGGTACACAACTGAATAACTCGATGAAGAAGTAAGATATTAAACGTAGTGGCCTCGTACCATCATCAAACTGATCTGCCATACGTGTACCCCTTGGTTGGAAGAGTGACCTGTTGGCACGGACGCGGTTGTAATGGTTGAATATCCTATTCCCCAGTCGGTAAGAGTCGCCGGCTTTCAAAAGAGCAGACTACTGACGCTACCGAAAGAACCTTTTTGGCATTCTCCTGCCCGATGACAAATTGATTCAGGTATTCGACTAGCTACAAGCAGATCAGTCGACAATAATGCCGCAGGAGACTTTGTGCACCTGGCGGGGTGTAGCGGAACCGAAACTAGGAATCGTCTTTACAGGCTGGTCGTCATTGTGCTCTGTTGGGTGCTCATGCGCTGGCTGGGTGCGGATACCACGCATAGAGAGGCGTAGAGGGCATCGTTGTCGATGAGCGACACAGGCAATAACCTGCGACGGCGTTCGTCCGAGCATAGCAAGTGCGAAAGTCGTTGTGTCCACGTCGTGGCCCAGAGAGAGGGAGTAATCGGTAAATCCGGGCCGATTAGGGCGAGTTAAAAATCGGCTGAATCGGCATCACTCGTCAAACATTCATAGCTAGCTCACTGGTAAGACTAGTACTAACGCTTTTAAACCAGACATGATAATTATATCTTGCTAGTAATTAAGGCCGCCTCTTTGGTTGCACTAGCGGCGTCAGTGGACGAGCCATTACGAACGTTCTCTCAGTGGTCTTACTAGTAGTGGTCATCGAGCTGTATAAGTTTATATAGAGCTCACAATCTCCAAGTTGCTCCACCCTCGAGATTCTTTTACAGACTGTTCAGGACTTCTGCACTTGCAGAAAAGCCACCCTCTCATCTGCGTCAACCTTCGAAAGGTTTCTTTCGAACATATCGAGTCGGTCAGACGATTTGGTTCATCTCTCAGCCTGTCAGCATCCAGAGAGAAGTTTACCGCTTTGTAGATATCGTGCAGTCAACTCTGTATGGCGTTGTGGTATGGGTGGTATGGCAGATCCATATAATCCCAGTTTTCATGCTGCCTCGGTCTTTTGGAAGGCGACGGATTAATGCCTACAAGTTCATGTTCTCATTTACGGAGTCTGGGGTGACGATGCGCGCAAATTCTGGGTATCTAGTTACCTGCATAATGTATACACGTCTATGTTTCTTGTGTTCGTGAATCTGTCCCAGCATTCCTGAGGAATACAGCTCCTAGATAATCGTCCAGGATCATTTCACGGCTCTAGCTAAGGCGCATCAAATCCTCTTGGTAGCTTATTTCTTGAGAAAAAACAATACATATAGTTGCTGTTTTTTTTGGTGAGAACACACAGGCCAACACCGTAAACAGTCAAACTACTCGAAAACCAGAAGAAATGTTATGTCCTTTTGGTACCCTAAATATGTGCCTAATCAATCAATCCTTGCAATATCCTGCGCTGTCGGTGATGTAGTCAATGGAACCGTCAGGCTGCGTCTGTCCACCATAGTTAATGGCGTCCTCAATGCCATGGCACTTGCTGAAAAGCGAGCATGTCAAAAGTGGGCTTCCGTTCTGTGGGGAGATCAGGATCTACTAGTACAAGTATTGCATCAGACGGACCTTTCCATTAACATCATGATAGGCTGTATTAAATAAGTCAGGGCTAGAAGAAGTATGGGAAAAAAAAAACCAAATTCACGATTAATGAAATTGCATCCGTCAACGCTGTCGCACATGTCCATGCACTCTACAGGGTTACTGTGAGAAACGGCGACGAAAAATGGGGTGTAACTGGCGTACCCCCAACAGTGTCAACCAGTCCGTAGGTCAAATAGTCGTCACCTTCGACGGCCCCGCTATAATTGTAGAATACCAGTTTGTAGCCATCGTTGTTCGAGGGAGGGGATTGATGGTAAGGAGGCTGGGGGCAAAGGAAGCCAAGCTGCAATAAGTCCAAGAGCCAGCAGATTAGCTAGGATATATAAATGTCAGATTTCATCCACGAATGTGTGTTTGTGAAACCTACGCTGTCCTTTAACAAAGGCAGGGAGATCTGCAGGTAATCGGGATGATCGCCGTAGTACCATCCTGGCGAACATCCCGACTTCCAGGGCGGGATGGGAGCGCCATAGTTGTTGCCTTTATTCAGGCTGACACTGAGGGACGACGAAATCGCGGCCTCTGTGGCATTCAGGGTGGCAGCACCACGGACAACGAGGGCGGTCGCAACGGTTACGAGGAGAGCAGAGAAGAAGCGCATTGTACTAGATAAAGACCTTGGACGAAGCTCAAGATGCTGGGTGGAAAGGATAAATCTCTCTCCAATTTATAGAGACGCGTTCAGGTCCTGCATAATCCATATTTTTAAGGGTATATTATTTGCCGGCATAGCCAGTGCCTAAGCGTAGATCGTGGGGATGATGTCTGCTTTCCAGCGTAGGTAAAGAGTCGTTAGTTCCTTGATGTTCACAAGTCTGGGTAGTACCTAAACCGGTGAACCCGAGCCCAAACTCGCTTGAACGCAGAGACCGCAAAGTAAACACGTCCGAGGGAAGACCGACGCGGTGATCCAAACAGAAAAGAAGCCCCCATGGGAAGAAAGTACCAGCTCCTCTCCTCTGCGGAGGACAAAAAAAATGGCTGTGATGATCGTGCGCCTACAAACGTGATCGAGAATCGAGGGTAAAGCGGCTGCAATCAAGTTTAGCGGTACCTACGGATCCTGCATCAAAATTTGTCAGCTTTGATGCGTCCAGGAATATCTTCACTCTGAATGATATGACAGGTTCCATCATGATCCACTGAACAATCCAGGTTATGCAAACGGGTTAATACAACGTCCGAGGGAAGACATGATTACGCTGGGTGGACAATGTTATAGTAATTCGCTGGAAAGGTATTGAAGCGCAGAAGAAAGCAAGTCAACAAGAAGCTGGCAGAGCAGGATTTGGCCTCCAGGACATGCATCGACGAACCAATGCGGTGGTGATAGTTTTCACAGCACACCCACTCTTGGTTCCGTTCCTTCAATGGTCTTGTCTTTCCATGATGCAATCACCCAACTGCCAATCAAAACATACGCAGGCACCCGTCGGGCAACCTGAATGATCCCCATGTTGGTCAAGACGGTGTTGAGTAATTTCTAGGCCCCAGAATCAGTGAGAAAACATAACCCAGGCAGCTGTCGAAGTATTTGTCCGACGTAAGTGCGATGGAAACTGAGCCGAATCACCAGGATCCTGCTCGAGCCATGTCCGGAGTGCTCTGAGAAGGTTATTTTACTTCTAAAAGAGACCGTCAATGAAGGCCAAATATTCGGGCTTCATCACGAGGAGACCGCAAACCCTAGCTTTGTGGATCATCGATGAAGCTTCTGCACGGTCAAGCCTGTCAGGCCAGGTCAGGCCTCGGACTTTCACTGGATAAAGACGTTCCCGAAGCGCGAGGAGAATGAATATCGGTACCGTGCAACTTTTGATTTCCATTGATGGCACCGTACTGTACTTGCAACGAACCCGCAGCCCTGTCCAACGAAAGCCTCTTGATGTAAGAGCTGCAGGTAGCATTCTTCACAAGGCTTGTTATTAAGGTGCCATGCCCTTGAAATGGATTAGCAGTTGATTAGAAAAAAATAGAAAAGAAAGGCAGCAACGGTAAAACGCGACAGAGCAACCCCACCCAAAATATTGCGCGGATAAGCAAAAGAGACGATTATAGGGAGGCAGGAATTTGTCTGGAGTGAGTTTATTCGTGCTTGACGAAGGAATTTCGCTAGTCAAAACACAATAGTGTGTCCAGGTGCACACGCACCACAGCATGATGGTGATAGGCTGACAAACCCGAAAAAAGAAGATTAGCCGGGTGACACAGCCACAGTTAGTCCTCTCCATCCACGACCGTCACAACCGAGAGTCGACAATGGGAAGACATTCCTCCGCCCACCCATCCTCTCCCACTCGAAGGTACGATGAATGTGGTAGGGAGGCAGAGCGTTCTAATCGTGACAGAAAATCCCTGGGAACAGACGGTTACAGCGAACGAGACGAGCATCATAAACGTCGTCGGAGCCCGAGTGGGGAGAGAGACCCTTCTTCTCAACGTCGTGATAGGGATAGCAGTAGAGAACGCAGAAAAAGGTAAGTGTTTCCCTTACCCTTCCCTTCCCTTCTCATATCCGACAGGCGTAAACGGGACAAGTCAGAGGAACGCAAAGCCCGGAAAGCAGAGAAGAAGCGCATAAAAGAGGAGGAGGAAGCTCGTCAAGTCGCCGAGCTCAGTGTTTATAGTGCAACCGATAACCCTTTTCACGATGTCAACCTAGGACAACAGTTTCGATGGCATAAGAAAAACGAAAGAGACAAAAAGGAGGGGTTGACCTACGCCGAGTCGCAGCGCCGTGATGCCATCCGACGCCAAGAAGCCAAGGACGAGTTGGAACGGTTGAACAAAAGAAGGGCTGAACGTGAGGCTGACCAGCGTCTCAGGGAAGAGGAGGAACTTCGAATGCAACGTCTTCAGGAATCTGCTCAGATGTCGGAGTGGTTGTCAAAGGAAGGCGATTTCAGGCTGGAGCAGGAAAGAAAGCGTGCAACAATCCGGATTCAAGAGAAGCGCGCCAAGGCTATTGACTTTCTTGCACTGAACTTGAAGTATGTTAATCCATCTACTGAAGAAGATGACGGTGGCGAAGAGGATGCCGGTTTGGAGATTGACTTGGATGAGCCATATAATATATTTGACGTGAGTAGTGTATGCTTTTATTCAATGTTGCTCTTACTTTTATCCAGAATCTTACCGATGAGCAAGTGGAGGAACTGCATGACGATATCGAACGATACCTGACATTAGAGCAAGTCCCCATTAACATTGAGTTCTGGACTGTGAGTATTTGCAACTTTTGGTCTAGAAAATATATTGATGTACACTTGAACTTAGAACATGATGGTAGTCTGTAAGGATCAGTTGGAGAGGATCAAAGTAAACGACCGAATGGGCATTGAGACTGCCGCCGCTGTAGAGGATGACATCACGACACTACTGTCTGGCAAATCATATGATGAACTCAGCTCTCTCCAACGACAAATTCAAGATAAGTTAACGAGCGGTGAAACGGTCGACAACGATTACTGGGAAAATTTACTACGAAGGCTTCTCGTTTGGAAGGCAAAGGTAGTGCTCTTTCAGTACTTATCAGTCACTATTTCTAAATCATATCCAGGCGAAGCTGAAAAGTTTCCATGAGGTAGTCGTTCGCAACCGTCTTGAACAGCTTCGCAAGCGCCAGCGCGATGAAGCCCTGCAAGCGCAAGAAGAACTTCTTGCTGGCGTAGCGAAATCAGCTTCTTCTAAACCTTGGATTCCTAAAGATATCGAAGCAGATGTCCCGGATCCTGACATCCATGATGTCCAAGATATAGAGGAATATGACCGGGCGATGAGTCCGCCATTGATTGACATCATTAAACTATCAGCGGAAGACCGACAAATTGATATTCTAACAGAGCAGGAAGATCGCCGAGCTCTGGCAAGTCAATGTACCATCAATGATGCTGCTCAAATGTGCTCATTGTATTATGTAGTTTGCACAGCGTAGGGCTGTTGCCGCTTCGAGATTCGTTGCCAAAGCCGTCCAGCAGAGAGTCGAAACTCAGGATGAGGAAGTGCCCAGCGGAGCTGATCTCGCTTCGGAAGCGTTGTACAGGGCAGAAGCGGAGCGGGAGCTTGATGAGGAGGAAGAGCTGTTTAATCTGGAGGAGAACATTACCAACCCGACCAGCTATAACTGGGAAGATAAGTATCGCCCACGCAAGCCTAGATATTTCAATCGGGTCCATACCGGCTACGAGTGGAACAAGTATAATCAAACCCACTATGAGTACGTGGTATTTCGGGTAACTGTCTTATACACTGACATCCGTATTAGCACGGATAATCCTCCCCCAAAAGTCGTCCAAGGCTACAAGGTATGTATCCGTCCCGTCTTCATTGGCTTGTACCGATGTTTTACCATTAGTTTAATATCTTCTATCCTGACCTCATTGACAAATCGAAGGCACCGACGTATAAGATTGTCAAGGAGCCTGGGAACGAAGATACAGTTTTGCTGCATTTCACCGCCGGTCCACCATACGAAGACATCGCTTTCAGGATCGTCAACAGAGAATGGGAGTTCTCACACAAACGGTAAGCTAATATCAATATACAAGGTTTGTCTTGTCCTAACAGCCTCATAGTGGTTTCCGGAGTAGCTTTGACCGGGGCTGTTTATCTCTGTGGTTCAACTATAGACGCAACGTAAGGACGCAATCTTATTCTGACTCCCGTCGAGGCTTATTATGCTCAATAGTTCTACCGCAAGTAGTTGTATACGGAGGGTATATAGCAATGTTTGTACAATATATCTACCATTATTTAATAGCACCGTCGCGTCGGGGTCGCCGCCCGAACCTTGCAGAAAGCTGAGGAATTTCGGCCACGTGATAGAGATCTATCACCGGTGGCTGTGATGTCAATGTAAGCTACCGTTGGTGACGCTCTCCTTATAACTCACCTGTCTTTCTCATCTCCGTCACATTCATCTGAACGAATTTTCAATTGTACAACGATACGGCATCCTTCATCATGGATAATTCTAATCTGGCGGCCAAGATGGATGTCGATGAGGCTGCCATCGACGAGGGCCTCTACTCGCGTCAACTGTAGGTGTATCTCCAATTCCTACTGTTTTTGCCATTGAACTAAGCACTATCTAGGTATGTGCTAGGCCACGAAGGTGAATTTCTTGCGTTTTGATGCAGTTCGTGCTAAACGATCTCCAGCAATGAAGAAAATGGCCGCCTCAAATGTCCTCATCGTCGGGGTCCAGGGTCTAGGTGTCGAGATAGGTCGCGTTTTCACTGATCTGACCCATTTCCTAGACTGAGTTGATTTTCAGCCAAGGATGTCGTCCTAGCTGGTGTAAAATCCGTCACTATCTATGACCCAGAGCCCGTAACCATACAGGATTTGAGCTCCCAAGTACATTCCTGTCCTTCGCCTTTTGTTCTAGGCTAACCTTTTTTCAAGTTCTTCTTGAGGGAAGAAGATATTGGCAAGTCCCGCGCAGAGGCGACAGTGCCTCGACTGGCAGAGCTGAATGCGTATGTTCCTGTGCGAAACTTGGGTGGAGAGGCGGGTCAGGCAGTCACTCCTGACCTCATCCAAGGCTTCCAAGTACGCCAATCAATTTTATGACATATTTCCAACTCTCAGGCCTGACAGGTCGTCGTCTTGTGTGGAGTCTCACTCGCCAAACAGCTCGAGATCAACGATTGGACGCACAAGAACGGCATCTCCTTCATATCCGCCGAAATACGCGGATTGTTCGGGTGCGTAACTATCTCTGTGGAATTCTTCTATCCTTACTCTACGTAGTTCTGTGTTCAACGACTTCGGAAGCAAGTTTACGTGCGTGGATCCTACAGGTGAACAGCCTCTGAGCGGCATGATTGTGTCTGTCGATCAGGTAAGGAATCCACCGTCGCGTAAGAAAAGACAAACTTTGATTGGGCTATAGGATAATGAGGGTCTTGTCACCTGCTTGGATGAGACTCGACATGGCCTTGAAGATGGCGACTTTGTTACGTTCACCGAAGTCCAAGGAATGACGGAACTTAACGGCTGTGAGCCCCGTAAAATTTCTGTGAAGGGACCATACACGTTCACCATTGGTGATACTTCCAATTTTGGAACATACAAGACTGGTGGTATCTTCACTCAAGTCAAGATGCCCAAGATCATCGAATTTGTACATGCTTTCATAATCTGCTCTCGTGATATCAACTCATACCATGCTGTTTAGAAATCCCTTCGGGAGTCCCTGCAGTCGCCAGAATTTTTCATGACGGACTTCGCCAAGTTTGATAGGCCAGCCACTCTCCATGCTGGATTCCAGGCTCTGTCAGAATTCCGAAGCATATACCAACGGTTCCCTCGACCCAGGAATCCTGCTGACGCTAAAGAGGTCCTTAGTCTTGCTAAGAAGCTCAATGCAGACATTGATGAGAAGATCGTAACTGAGCTATCTTACCAAGCTACTGGCGACCTGTCTCCTTTGGTAGCAGTCATCGGTGGCTTTGTGGCCCAGGAAGTACTCAAGGCATGTTCAGCCAAGTTTCATCCCATGGTTCAGCACCTGTACTTCGATTCTCTTGAGTCTCTGCCTTCCGCGATTCCTTCTGAAGAGGATTGCCAACCCATCGGGTCACGATATGATGGTCAAATCGCTGTTTTCGGGAAAATCTTCCAAAACAAAATTTCCAACCATCGTCAATTCCTCGTTGGGTCTGGTGCTATTGGCTGTGAAATGCTAAAGAACTGGAGTATGATGGGTTTGGCCACTGGGGCTGAGGGTGCCATTCGAGTGACCGATCTCGATACCATTGAGAAGAGCAACCTGAATCGACAATTCTTATTCAGGCCGAAAGACATCGGCAAATTCAAGGCTGAAGTGGCTGCGGCAGCGGTCGCTGACATGAACCCTGATCTGAAGGGGAAAATCGTCACTAGTCAGGAGGCCGTAGGCCCAGCATCAGAAAGTTCGACCGCCCTTTCTGATCTCATTATGAAAAAGTGTGCTCATCGATTTGTAGATATTTATGGCGACGAATTCTTCAGCTCTATCGATGGCGTTACCAATGCACTTGACAATGTGAAAGCTCGTCAGTTAGGTCCCTACTGTCTGACGCACGGCTGATAATATTTTCAAGGGGTGTACATGGATCAGCGATGTGTATTCTATGAGAAGCCTTTGCTTGAATCCGGTACTCTGGGAACGAAGGGAAATACCCAAGTTGTCATTCCTCATCTGACTGAGTCCTACGCGTCGTCTCAGGACCCACCAGAGAAAGAAACACCCTCCTGTACCGTCAAGAACTTCCCGAACGCTATACAACACACAATTGAGGTGCGTGTAATCATGAGTGCAGTTTCTGAGGTATTGACGATCGCGTAGTGGAGTCGACAACAATTCGATGTCCTCTTTGTCAAGCCTGCGCAGGCTGTGAATGCTTACCTTTCCGAACCCAACTATCTTGAAAGCACGCTCAAATACTCTGGTCAACATAAAGAGCAAATTGAACAGCTGGTCTCTTATCTTGTCACAGACAAGCCGTTGACATTTGAGGAGTGCATCGTCTGGGCAAGACTCCAGTTTGAAGAGAAATACAACAATGACATCCGGCAGTTGCTGTTTAGCTTGCCCAAAGACGCAACTACCAGTACCGGTCAACCGTTTTGGAGTGGTCCCAAGCGTGCTCCTGATCCGCTAATTTTCAACTCTAATGACGTGAGTTTGGCTCAGCATCTTAAGAGACACCGCTGAATTTTTTTTTTGTACAGCCGCTCCACCTTCAGTTCATCATAGCCGCGGCCAACCTTCATGCCTTCAATTATGGCTTGCGCGGAGAGACCGACGAGACTGTCTATCGCAGAGTTGCCGACTCTGTGATCGTACCAGAATTTACACCGCGTAGTGGTGTGAAGGTTCAGATCAACGACAATGATCCCGTCCCTCAGGGCGACAGTGAAGGTGACGGAGGTGGGTCTGTCTACTTGCTCTTGTGCAATAAAAGTTCATCGATATTGTCTTCAGATGATAGTGATGTCTTGATAACCAAGCTTCCTGCGCCGTCCTCTCTGGCGGGATACCGATTGAATCCTGTTGATTTCGAGAAGGATGATGACACCAACCACCACATCGATTTTATCACTGCTGCGTCGAATTTGCGTGCGACGAATTATAGTATCACCCCGGCCGATCGCCACACAACGAAACAAATTGCTGGTAAGATTATACCGGCTATTGCGACAACCACAGCTCTCGTTACGGGCCTGGTTTGTCTCGAGTTGTACAAGGTATGTGCTGCGAGTGGCGTATTTTCCCTTTCTGACTTTTAGCAGATTATCGATGGGAAGAATAAATTAGAAAATTATAAGAATGGCTTTGTTAACCTTGCATTGCCTTTTTTCGGTTTCTCGGAACCTATTGCTGCCGCAAAGAACAAGTACGGCTCTACGGAATGGACACTTTGGGACAGGTTCGAGTTCAAGAATGACCCCACATTGCAAGAAATCGTGTCGTGGTTCAGCGAGACGCACCAGCTAGACGTCGGCATGGTCAGTCAAGGCGTAAGCATGTTGTGGAGCTCTTTCATGCTCAAGCCGAAGGTTTGTTGTCCGTTCATTACGTCCGGTTCACCTGCACTGACTTGGATTCGTACGAAATAGCAAAGCAAGGAACGGCTCGAAATGAAGTTCAGCAAGCTCGTGGAAACCATCAGCAAAAAGCCAATCCCTCATCACGTCAAACATTTGCTAGTAGAGGTGCTTGTCATGGATGAAGAAGGGGAAGATGTTGAGGTAAGTTTGCCTTACTAGCGTGACTGGGGTGGGTGTAGCTCATTCAATAACAACAGGTACCGTTCATTGTTGTTCGTATCTAGGTTTTACGTCGTAAAGAAAGAAACATGTAATAGTCTGTTGTAATACTCAAGGCTTCCGTCGAGCTACTTAGAATATAATTATGTCGATCCAGGGATGGGGAATGACACCGTCACTCGTACTGTTCCCTTATCAAAACTTCATCAACTTTAGATGGGATGCAGCATTGGGGAGATGCATACAGGACAATAACATCAGAAAATCAAATCACCTAAGTCAAATTCCTCCGAGTCCTGAACTATAATCCCTATAATCACTGTATAATCAGGCATTCATCAACTGATGCTGGGAGCAATCAGCCTGATATACACAAAACCGATAACATGACTCGGAAGACAGTTACATGTGCCAGATTACTTCGATAAGCGCTAAGGACAGCAACAGCAGAAAAGCAGAAATTGCGACAGATATTGCGTCCGTGAATGTTGATAGATCTGACTGAGCTCCATAGAATAATGGCTCCAAAGAACTCCAGCTCAACGTATCAGAATTATCAACAGGATGCTTGGGGCTAGTATATTAAGGAGGTGCAGGGCAGAAGAACCGGAATGGCATTACAAGGGGACATTACGGCGAAGTTCGAAAGTAGCTCGGCAATTTGCGAGTTTTTTTCCACTTCTCTCCGTGAGAAGTATTTGAGTAATTGTATGCCTACATCAATGCATGCCTGGAGGCATCAGCAGGCCACGTAACTGATAGACCCTACTCATGACATGAGGTCGCCATACAGCTCTAGCTATCGAAATGGATTTTCAATGCTGTATGCACCCCCCCGACGCCTCTCCTTCAAGTTCGCCCATGACTGAGAAAAATTCGGTGTGATTTGTTTGTTATCCATTCTATCAAAAAATTTGAATTTCCGATAGAGCTCGCCTGACATAGCTGTTAATACCCAGGACGTAGCATTGCTTCTACGGCCCCAGCCACATGTCTCTCTGGTAAGCGACGTCGGTTTCCTGCATAAAGACCCGTTTTCTGAATTCTCAACTAGGCTCAAAACGTAGAAAATCATGACTCTACAGGTCACGATGAATCGGTCCTAAAACTTTACGCGAAGAAAGCCCACTTGTACGATAAAGCACGCTTCGAACTCTGGCACAAACGACTAGACCTACAGCTCCTCTTCGTAAGCTCAGCTATTCAGGTAGACCTCAAATGCGTCTCACATTTCCCCACAGGCTGGGATATTCTCCGCAATTATTTTGCCTTTGATCGCGGAGACCTACACTTTCCTGTCTGAGCCTGGCCCACCTGCGTATGCAATACGCATCAATGCTTTTCTTGCGATCTCTTTAGTGATCAGCGTAATGACTGCAGTATTTTCCTTGCATTGCAAGCAGTGGATGGACGGATACGACGTAAGTGGCAATGAATGCCCTCCGGCCTGAACTACTAAATAAGCTTTATAGGTTGATCTTCTTCTCCGTTCCGACTTATCTGGTGACATTCAAACTTTGGCCAAGTCTTGCAGAATACATCAATATGTGAGCATCTTGTACTACAAATACTGCGCCACGGAGTCTTACTTCCGCGCTCTTCCAGCGCTTTCAAGCCCTTGAGCGGTATCATTTTCCCTCCATTGTCGGTCTGGGTGCCCTTTTCATTTATGTCGCCATTGTCTGTTTTTCTATTGCTTTGGTCGACTTTTTCTGGCAATTATATCGTCCCATTGGTGTGATGCTTGCCGGCCTTTCCGGGATGATCATCTCGCTGCATATCCTCACAAGTATCCAGCCCTGTCTCTCATCGGCTTCTCCTTTCAAGTCACCATTTTCCTACCTCCTAGTAAACCTTTGGCTCGGGGCTCTCGACGGGCAGCTGGCAACGGACGGAAAATTCGAACAGTGGGAACACATTGTCGTGGAAGACCTGAAACAACATTTAGATGGTGGGATAGCTCATTGGGCGACCTCTGACGCTCTACAGCATCCCATGGGATATCCATAAATGCATTCTTCGGAAAACGGAAAATGTTGCGGTTGGTAGTGGTAGACTCGGAAGTGATCAAGTGGTTCCGAGCCGAAATTCACGACTATTGGTAAAAGGATCATTTTTGACATTCAAGTTGATTCATTTATAGTAGAGCACAGCAGGTAGACACTAGACAGCGGAACGATATTCATCTGTGATGAATGTCTTGTATACGTTATATATGTGCTGATAACAATATGGATCTGTTCTATAAAAGTCGACGATTAAATACAAACTTACGGTGGGCCTCTAGCAATGGAATTAATCCGCAACGTGGTGGTATAGAATAATCGAAAGCAAAGCAAAGCAATAAATCAATCCTTAAGCGAATGTCAATCGTCCCAGTTTAACACGAGTGCACCGATATCCGGTATTGTGAAGGTGCTGGGCTCACCCTGACTGGAGTCAGGCGACTATCAGAATACTCGGTCAGCTGTCATTCATAGACAGTCAGAAACACAGACCTCCGGTCCTATCATCGTCTCACTTCCAACCGGGACCCCCGCCCCTGAGGTGTCCGAGGCAAGTCGGCCCTTCCTCCCTCTACTCGTCGTAGCAGTAGCTCCGTAGTCCTTGACAAGCCGCGCGTTAAGAATCGGAGTTCGCCTATACTCGTTCGTCCTTTCACTTGAAGAGGTGCGGCGATCAGAAGGAGACGATGTCCGTGAGCCACTATGGCTCAGGCTGTGAGAGTAATTCCGTGATGAAAACATCGTCAGAGCCGATATCCTGTAGTGAGAGTTGGAACGCGACAACGAGGATTGTGGCAAAGGTTGATTGTGAAGGTTGAAAGGTATTTGAGAGTTTACGTTTACCATTTTACTATACAGTCATAAGGACAACGGTTTCGCAAGGAAATCAGTGACTCACCCCTCTTTTGAACGTACAATGGTCCCAAGCCTATCCTGCAACTTTTGGTGATCAATAACGATGACGTTAGGAATTATCGGCCTGCAGAGCACTGTCAATGAAGGACAAAGGAGGACGTTCAGATTTGTGCTTACGATAAGGGGTCGGTAGACGGAAGAATGAGACGAGCTTCTTCATCGTTGGGTACAATCTGGGTACCAAATTTCGACAATGAGATTGACTGTAGTCACGGTAAACATACATAATCTTTCGAGTGTTTTCGTCGACAACAAAAGAATATTGAACTGAAGAATGTGGCCATCGCGTGAGCAGACGACCGTAAAGTAGTAAAGACAAAAAGCGAAAGAGGGAAAATTGCTGTGACGTGACATGAAATCTTTCTCTTGCTCGCATTGCCTGTTATAGCATTCACCGCTTTCTAATTTGCAATAGCTCGATTTACAAACTCCTAAATTTCCAATGACGATAAGAGTCCAAGATATAGTATCGCGATGTTATCAGGATTGCGTATTACAGATGCAGAACACTCGTGTTAGACATAAAGTCACTCGATGCCTATAGGAAACACAAATACACCTGTAGGATCATACTGAGCTTTCATAGCCTTAAGTCTCGGATAGTGAGATTTGTAGTAGAGGTATTGCCCTGCGCTCTAGAACATTAGGAGTAGTAAATCATATGGGTCCAATGCACGCACAATCTCTGAGACGGTCATCAGGGTAATTGACATATGCTCCGTAGTCCCACCCAGTATGCATAGCCGCCGTGATATTGCTGACAAGATCTAGAAGTTCGTCAGGGGTTACCATATGAACAGTTGTATATTACGAGATGCTTACAGTCTAAGAAAGTGAAACCATCATCAGGGAATGGCGGCGCATTGTTATAGGTCGCCGTATATACTTGTATTGTAAACAGTGCACTCCTGGTCGCAAATGATGTTGAGTCAACAGGAACCGCATTGATAGCGGAATTTCCGCCCCCATATAATTCGGCTTGCACGAACCAGTTCTGATGACACATCAAAGAATATACTTAGTACAACTAGAGTAAAAGTTACCGTATCGGAAGCATACCCATCGTATGCAAGAGACTTCATGAATGCTTCGGATGCTTCATATGTTATCGGGTCATCTTGTGGAGTCATCAACGATTTGGCATAGAATGTGTTGGTTCCATCAGGACCTGCGGTATGTGTGTCAAGGACACCCCCACCCAGGTCCTGCAGTGCACTGATCCACGTTCCATTTCCGGTGTATCTTACATTAGTCGGAGACGGCATAACTGCTAAGAATGGCACCAGCGTGTTGTTCAGCGCAGTTTCAGATTCGCCAAAGAATCCGCCTGTGATCGCAAAGGTAACATTGCCCGCCTCACCACCGCTTGTAAGAACGACTTCTGCTCCAAATTCGGCTGGGATGTCCGTCATAGCAAATGCTTGAAATTTGATGAAGGAGGTTGCGGCACTTTCATATTTCATCTGCCAATTATAGCTAAAGATGACCGCATACGAAGGTATCGGTGACGTCGCCATTTCCATAGAGGTGATGATACCAAATGAGCTCGCGGCACCTCTCAAAGCCTTGAATCTGTACCATCAGCGGAGCGGCATGACATACGCAAGCCATTTACACACCCAGAAAAGATCTGGATTGGCATCGTTTGATGCGGAAGTAATAGTTCCGTCAGCTAAAACGACCGTCATCGACACAATTCTGTCCAATATCAGACCCCACATTCGAGACGGAAATCCAAAGCCACCGCCAGCTACCAAAACACGTCAATTGTCTGTCAATTCTTCATCTGCTGATGGAAACGGACCAGCATGTCCACCAATTCCAACGTAAGGGCAGCTTCCATGAGGAAGACCTCTTCCTACATCATTTAAAGCGAGGGCTACGTCTCCCAGTCTCGCACCTGATTCGATCGTCGCGATTCCAGAAGACGCATCATATTTCAAGGCTGTCATATTGCTTAAATCGATGACGAGAGTGCCGTTCTCGCCTCCAAGTCCGTTGGCGATATAACTATGCTGCCAAAGCGGCCACAAGTCAGGCTGTCAGCCGAAACTATGATTCCAACAAAAATCACCCCGCCAGCCCTGGCAACAACTCGTAGTTTTTCAGAGTATCCAAGGTGAACTATAGTTGAAACCTCGCGAACCGTCGAGGGATATACCACAGCAGCGGGAGAGAAGTCAAATCTCAGGTTGACTTTCAAAATGAGGAGTAAGAGTAAGGACAAAGAGAGAATCACGAATATAAATGCTGACACGGTCTGCTTGCATTCTTGTATGCTGAATTCCCAGGAAAGATAGCGGTGATACCAGCATCATTCAAGCCGTGTTCCAAGGTGCTTTGACAGAAGGCCAGGGAGGTAAAAAAAGCAAGAATAAGGCCGGCAGCACATGTGCAGGCCATGAACTTGTATTAGATAGGCCGCTGTTGAAGGTAGACAGACCACCTGCTTAAATAGAGAGAGTTCATCTCATGTGGCTGGTGCAGGTGACAAGACGTTCAGAGCCAGACGACGTGGTCCGGTAGAGGCGCAGAATTCGGCAAAGCGGACCGCTGCTTACCTGTTTGAACGGTTACATTTGAGGTGGCCATATTATACAGTCTTACAGTCTTGCATTTACCTGAGCTGTATTAGCAGAGGTGGCCAATTCATACAATCTTATAGTCTTACCCAAGTAGGCGCCAGCCTTTGACAAAATCAGATATTGGAGCTGAAATCGATTGTCACACAATTTGTTGTATGGGACGGCAGCATGTCGCGACCGCAGCCCGTAAACACATTGGCATAACTACTTACCTACGTACGTATGTACAGTGAGATAATGACGGAAGAAGGAATGTAGGGGGGGGAAGTATCCTACGATGATGCGAAAAAGATGAAAGGAAAATGGCAACAAATGAAGCTCGGGAGGGAAAGGAAAATAGTTGTTTTATGGTTTTTATGTGAAATACCATCGGTCGTGTGCGTAAAATGTCTTGCATCCAGAGACCAAAGACACCAAACCACGTATGTAACAAATGAGAAAACGTACATCGAGGAAAAGCATACGATGCGACGTGGAAGCGTGGATTAGGTAGATGTGAACGTTACAGAGAAGGGGAAGAGTAAAATATGTCATGTCAAAAGAGAAGAAGCGCAGAAAGAACAAAAAGCCGTGACAGTAATACTACACCATAAAAAAGTCTCGTGTAGTCCCCTGTAACGAGGAACGATTGCTGCCCCATCTTTTCCAGATATCCAGTAAGATGCGGCTGATGGATGAAGGGGCCGATTGTGATGCGGAAAATATATATGCGAAGGCCGATTGTCGATGAGTGGAAAGATGATGGATGTAGACCGCTATGAAACAGACAAGGAAGCTGGACCGTGGGGACCACAGACCCGGTTACTCATAATAATAGGTACAAGCCCATTTTGGCTGAAAAGAGAGAGTGAAAATAGTCCACCGACTGCAGTAGAGTCATCGGGGGTCAAATCGAGCGTAATGTATAAACAGTGACGAATTGCTGACAGGAAGATGCGGTCTAAGTGGGAGAATCAATCATTCTGTGGTTTGTTCCTGAAAACCGAGAAAACGAGGGCGACGTGCTCAAGTCCTGAGCCACACAGATTGGTAACTGACACTGTTATGAGGAGCAAACGTAGATGCGGGATGCGCCTGATCATGCATACCCCATTGTCCATCCACCACGGGAGGAGATGAACCTTCGTTTGCAGTCATACGGATGTCACTACAGCGGTATTGGAACTGAGATTGAGAGGATGAGCGCAGATGATTATGACTATCTGTAATGTCTTGATATGGTTGCGAATGCGAACGAGAATGCGATATTGGAATTGGCAGAACAAGCTGCTGGTGGCTATAAACAGGAACGGCGGTAGGGCGAAGAGTTGCCATGTCATAGGCGTAGGCCAGAGGCATCGGAGGGGGCTGTACATAGGCACCGCCCATAGGCCAATGATGTCCCTGGTATCCCACTTCGTGGCACTGGGGGTACGCGGGTATCAAATGATAGGGAACGGCATTCAACCGAGGCGGTTGCACTGCGATATACTGCGCACCACCGCGGTTCCTGTCCCTCAAGATGGGCTCGTCTGCCGCAGGACTCCATTTGGCAGGAGGAGGCAGTCCTTTGACAGATTGAACATTACGCCTATCCCAGCCGGATGAAACGTGAGAATCATTCTCCCTGGAGCCAGTGCTATAGGTAGAACTAGCTCCGCTGATTCGTCGTTTGGGTATATATTCCTCACGGAGAGGACCACCTTCATCGATGTCGAACTCGGCGAGCTCGACTGCCATGGCATGCTCCCTCTCTAGTTTTTCTCTCCGACGTTCCTCCAGTCCCATGAATACAGGCTGAGGATGGGAGGGATCGAAGTTGCAGACAGCCGGTGCCTGGATGATCCCATCGATGGCCTTGCGAATAATGGAATGTGGATTGGCCGAAGGACGGGATATGGGCTGAGGATGAGATGACGATAATGACAAATGGTACGACATCACATGCGAAAGCCATTGTGACCAATGTTCATTGGTAATCGATAAGTCGTATCCAAAGATGTCTAAGGCAAGGAACTCAAGATGATTCAGCGCATGGATGGGTACATTGGAAATTGTATGCCTGGACAAACGAATGAATACAACGGTTCGGATGAGTAAAAGGCCAGCTTACCAAGTCTTGTTCGAAAAGGTGTGATCATCAAGCCATTTATTGGCGAGCATGCACCCCAAAACCGCAAGACGGAAGGGCGCACTAGCTTCCATCATCTCTTGATTATGCCCGTGATCTGTGCCGAGAAGAGCCGCTCTAAATCGAAGCTCTTTGACATCTTCATTGCTGATAAGAATCGTTCCGAAAGAGACCGGTAGGCGAACGATGTACCAGAGAGCTAGGAAGATAGCGGAAGGCTGCAGAAGAGTGGACAACAGCAAAGAATGAATAAGCGAAGCAAGATATTCAGGAGGTGCCCTTGAATACTGCCTCGAAAATGTAGGTCTAGTTATAAGTATGAGTAAGTGAAGACGAAATTAGGAACAGAAAACATACGGTGTTCCACGGAAAGGGAAGGCGCTCTCAGTAGTACAAGTCTTCCAGACATAATTTGCAATCCATTCGGATAAAGGCTCGGCCAGCTTTTTGTATCCAACAGATGCTGATGGAGTTACGACCTCGGGAGCTAGGACTGGCTCTTTAGGTTCTTCAACGACGGACGGCAGCGGCTGATAATAATCATAATCGCACTTGTTGATGCCGTAGGGTATGTCGTCGGTGGAAATGGCAGGAACACCATATTCACCGTCGTAACCATCTGCTGCGACAGCGCGGTCGACGAAGTCTGCAAATGGAGTAGCAGGCCCAATAGGACTTGAGCCGCTATTATCTTCGGGAGACGGTTCCTCGAAGATGGGTGAAAATGCGCCTCTCTCATACGAAGCCGGGGGGTCATTCATCTTGCTACGTGCAGAAGGCGAGCCGTCACCCCACTGGCTGCCAGAATGGCATTGGCTGACGGTAGAACCCTCTGAGCTCATTTCGTCGTCGGCGTCACCGTCGGTGGAAGAAGTGTGTAGGGCTGGAGACTGAATAAAATTGAACAGGGGCGGAATGCACGCTTCAGCGTGCGCTCCTTTAATAACAGACGCGTTGGCCGCGACAGCTAACCCTTGAGAAAAATCCTGCTCTGCACAACGGCCTACAAGACGAGAGTCCTCCTCCCAAATCCTGCGAGGCTTTGTCCTCCTCCACGATGGCAGCGAGTTGATCCACTGCTCGCGGGTGCCAAAGGAGGGAGGTGGGCCCGTGGGGGCCACGGGGAGAGAGCAAGTTAGAGTGAAAAAGGGATTGGAATGGCCGTCGTCGATGTGATACTTCTTGATAACGGGATGCGCAGGCTGCTTTGAGTGAACTGGAACTGGAACTGGCATCTGCAGCTGAAAAGAACCAGAGATATCGACCACTACAGGCACAACAGAGTCAGCAGTGATGTCGATAACCGGATCCACGGTCGCTCTTCCGACTGAAGGAGCGGGAGACTCGAGAGAGCGAGGAAAAAGGAGGTCGTAAGGTGTGTCGTGAAAAGAGAAGAGAAGAAAAAAAAATCGGGGTCGAGAGCTGTCGAAGGTCGAATCGATGGCGGACGCACAGCAAAGGCGTGCCTTTTGGATGGTACGAGCTAGCTACTGGGCTGCTGGGGAAAAAACGCAAAGGTGGCGTCCTTGGCTGCTGCCGGGGAAGCCTGTGCCTGCTCTTCTTTCAGCAAGGCAAGGAGCACAGTGTACCCTCTTCAGTCTCGGCTGACGATGGTATATGGAATAGAGAGACCTGGCAACAAAATCGACGGGATGAGGTCGATGTCGCACACGGTGGAGGGTTGGTCACTTTTTAAGCTGACTGCCACGCCTTATATACCTATATATCTGCTTAGGTAATCGGTTATGACTCGGTTGCTCCGTCCGACATGTGAACGCCCCAGCACGGCAATGAGACACGAATGTAATTGAATCTAGTAATAATATAACAGCAGCCCCTACCCTCACCGTCCAACTGCGCCGCTGCCTGCGCTTGGCCTAGGTAGTCGTAGCATCGCGATACCTCCTCCTGATATCCTATTCTGAAAAAATTTCCTGATCGATCGCCACACCATACCCCGTGCACAAACCCGGAGCCCTATGTATCACTGGATAGTACCTTCACTGAATCGGGGGTACCAAGTACATTTACGACATTCCATAATTTACGCAGAATATGGGTGGAACTCGGTGCAAATCTAATTCAGATCAACGGCGGGGGCACGAAAGAGCTAGCCCTCGACCTCCAAACACGTGTTGGTACCATGAGCCACTGCGGGATCCCGACAGTTCGAGCCAATGAAACATGCCCAGAATACCAATCAAGCCACCAGATGTGAAACAATATCAGTAATAGAACCTCGGACAAGGACGGCAGAGACAGAAACGTTTCGGAGATTGGACAACAAAATCGACATGGAAGAAACATTCCTTGGTGACACATAAGAACCTACATAAAGAAGTTCTAGTATCTACTCCGAAGATACTCACATTCCAATCCATGTGAGTATCAGATTCGAACATCGAACAGCGAACAGCAAGATAAAACTCCCAAGATAAGCGTCAATTGCCATTGGACGGAGGTCGGCCCGATTTGGATCATGACGTATATAGTTGATTGGCTACAAGCTTCGTTCCAAGCAATCCATTCCTTTTGCAATATTACTCTGCTCATCCAAGTTCATCAGACGCGTCAAAATGTCGTTTATTGGGCCGAATCCAGAAGGAAATGTGATGAATAATGCGAATCAGGATTCCATTACTCTTGGGCAGCTGAGAACGATGGTCAACTCTATACCTAAACCGAAAGTACGTCTTCCTTCCCGGCTGCGTCAATGAGAGACTAAGGGATGATCTAGCAATGGTGGTACGACTACAACTACGACGATGAAGACACAGTCATGAATGAGATTGATGAGCTATATTCATATGTCGAGATGCCCCAGGTGGCGGAGAATTTGAGGGCATGGCACGGATCTTTCGATGGAGGTGGGTGAACCGCATCGTTCAAGATATTCACACGTAACCTATCCCAAGACTGGACCAAGACCCCACTTCCTCAGCGCAAAGCTCACGTCGAACTCCTCCTTGAAGGACTTGAACACCGAGATGCTGTGATTCGCTTTACAAACGCGCGCCGGCTTTTCTATATTGTCCAAGGTTCGGCTTTTTCTCGATGACAGTCGACTCAACATGATCGTTTTGTAGGATCATTTGCAGAGACGGGATCACCAGAACACCAACTCCATTGGATCTTTGAGAACTGCAAGATTGTCCGAGCAGCGAACGGTGTCAGCACGATCGTGGAAGCCATGAAGATTGCAAGTTCAAAACATGATTTGCTATGGCAAGCAACCGGAATCCTGCTATTATCAATGGTCACTGATACTTCTTTTGCTTATCCTTAAATAGCAGTCTCTCTGACACTGACATCGCACATTTGCGTGTTACACCTGAAGAGAAGTCTAATCTCCTCGAAGAGGTGTTGACAGAGCTTTCCGTCTATGTTGGAATGTTGTACCATTTGATCGAAATATTCAAGGGATACGACGAGTTCGCAGACGAGTTAAGTGCGTGGGTCGTTCTTCAGCATTTCCTCTCCGTACTAATACATTATCCAAGTGAGTCTAGATCCGCCCCTCCCCGTCTACGTGTTTAGTGTCGTTTCTGGTCTACGCGATAAAAGTGCTAAAGGATATCCTGTGAAGAAGGTAAAAACGTTTTCTATTCGAAACCACTTCGCTCTCAAACATTCCTCAGCTCTTATTACTTCTTTGGAAGACTTTATTAGCTTGCTTTGGTGGATATCGTGACTATGCTAGAGTCAAGAAACTCGCGAGAGAACTGGGAGGACTATCGAATAGTCCAGAGGTGCTTGAAGGTAGTGTGCTTTTGCTTTTCTATTCAATGCCATCTGACACGAGTCAAGGCGCCACACTCATTAAGTCTTCACCATTCGACATTGAGGCATTCCGTCAAGAAACTTTTGTTAAGTATCCCACCTTCGCTCCTCCTCCTCCGCCTCCGGCTGTAGAGTCCCCCATCCCTAAATTAGCCAGTTCGAACTTTACATCCAAACTGGCTCAGGCATTCTCTCCCATTCCTGTGCGCCATCACTACCATAACGATGAGTCCGAGAACCAACCCGGTCTTCCTCCGCACAATAACATGATGTTCCACCATCAGCACAATAATGGTTATCGACCTATCCCTCAACCAGCGACACCAGCTCCCTCACCACCATCCGTCGTCGGTCCAAAGCCAAAGAAACAGCAGTACCAAACAGACCAGAACCGACCGTTCTTGTTTCCCTTTTCGAGAAGCCAGGGTAAAGATGCTAGGCTCGTGCCCTTCGCCATCGATGAAGCCGACAAACTGTACTCTAGGCATATGTACGTTAGTTTGTCATTGACTCAAATGTGGCGAACAAGGGAGGACTGTATGACGTTTGAGAGTGGGTTGGACCATATGCCGGGATCTGAGGGCAAATTTGAGCCGTCTACTTTTTCAGCAAAAGTGCGTCTTTTCTCCAGTTCGGTTCAGGGGAACTTAAGCCTGGTATAGGAGTCAGAATCGGCTGAGCCATTGCCTGATGTCGCCCTCCTAGATGCCAAAATCGCTGAGGCGACCGGGGCCCTGGAACGAGTAGAAACCGCCGTGGAGGAGAGAAAGGTGAAAGAACGACGGGAAGATTTGATGCGCTTGAAACGCGTGGAACAGATCTATGTAAGCTTAAGCTTGAACATTTGAGCGTTAATTGACGTATGCCTTAAGAGTGCTGGTCTGCCCGTGCTGTCCGGCTGGGTTCTGGTCTGTCTCAAACTACTGTTAGCCACCGTCACAGCGGGCACGAATATGCCACTTCCACAAGCAGCTACGATGTTCCCTGGCGTTGCTTCGCGTAAGTTATTCCCTCTAGTGGTGCTCCATTGACTGACAGACACATAGCACAGGAGCCCCCCATACCACCCCCTACACCGACCCTGGATGAGCTTGATGTTACTCGACACCGAGAGATTACTTCCAAGGCCGTATCGGCAATCCTACTTATGGTTTTGAAATGGTTCAAGGTGTCGCGTAAGTAGACATGGATTTTCGTTTTGACTGCATCATGATGATCTCCTACTTTAGACGTGATGAAATTCCATCACTTGGGGCAGCTGCTACTGGACACAAATTGCTTATTGCTGCTTCTGAAAATGTTCGGGTTGCAAGAAGTCTCTACGTCCCTTGTAGCGCGTAATGATTCCCCTGAAAACAAGTTAGTTGTGACTCTGCCTATTTTATTGACATTGGTATTAAGAACGTCCTCCAGCTTCTTCCGATATTGTTACCTCCATTTCTCCAAGAACCCCCAACCAATGCGGCCGGAAGACTCCATGCTAAAACCACCAAGGCAGACAATTACCAAGACCCGTACACTGCCCAACGGAGATATTCTGGAGGAAGAGGTCGAGATGGTTACTGATTTCTCGTGGAGGAACTTCTTTTCAACCATCAATTTTGCGAAGATCATGCAGAAGCTATCGAAACACCGATCACATAGAATATGGATGTTAATACAATACAAAAGCTCAGTGAGTGATCCAGAATACAGGCCAGCGATTAACTAATAATGACGGCAACTAGGCAGTATTGAAACGTATACTAAGGGTCCAACACCCGATGCTGCAACTACACTTGCTCAAGTTACTCAAAAGCCAAGTTCCATTCTGTGGCCGGAAGTGGAGACAAAGTGCATATTGTCATGAGCCTTCCTGATCCGCTCTCACCACTTTTCTCCAGGCAACATGAAACTCATAACGGCCATATACTTGAACTGCAGACCAGACCTTCGCGATGAATGGCTGACGGGCTCAGAAACTGACGATGCCGCCGACGCCTCTGTAAGTTGACAGACCCATGATCATTCGAATCATCCTGACTGTTTTTTTCGTCAGGCGCAGGAGACCGCGTTGCGGCATCTCGTCAAATTCTGTAAGTCAGGGCTCCCCGTCTTACTCTGCGCTTCCTAAGCGATATTCCCTAGACAACACCAAGCGATACGGTACCAACGCGACCGCAAACCAATTCAACCCTTTACATCGCCGTTCAGGGAGCATGTCACATCACATAGAAGGTCTCCATCCCGGCCCGGAGCTTTCTGGGATCATCCGCCCCAATGGAACACCTAACATCGCGGATGCGGATGTTTTCCCTCCGGCTCGTTCTCAAGCACCGGACCCGTCAATATTTCTCCCTTACACGGCCGAAGATATTAACTTTGAGGATGAGTACGAAGAATATATATCCGACCTCGGGTGGTCCGATGAGCAGGGCGGTCCGTTCGAGGGAACCTCCGCCTGGCATCGGTTCCCGGTGGATTTTGCTGCTGACATTGCCGATGGGATAAGCGAAAGTGAGAGTATTGTCTCTATCGGTGATCTGGGTGATGACGCGCGGTTGAACCGGGATGAACCGCAGGGCCATGATGAGAATAGGAATGACTGGGAGGTTCGTGTTCTCTAGTTCTATTTGATTTTTTCTCATTTATCTTTCTTTCTAGCATATGAGTCCCAAGACGATGGCCGCTCTGCCCAAATCTCCAGCCGGCGGACGACGTTCGAGCTCAGGAAGCGGTCTACGTCCTGTCATACCTTTTGGCTTGGACAGTGATAGCCCTATTGATCTAGAAGATGAAGACGAAGATCTTCCGGAAGTAGGACACGCTCCGCGGGAGGATTCTGCATTTGCCTCGGGAGCAGGTGTAGACGAGGTGGAGTATGTTTACGGGTAAGTGACCCACTCATATGATTTCAAACCGTAACTGACCTTCTCGAAGTGTTTAACGATTTCGGCTATCAGTATGTATGTTTGTGTATCCTTGAATCTCATAATATCATGTGCAGCACCATACATAGATGGACAAAGATTACATCCGCGAATCTGTATACATCAAAACATACTATTATAGTTAAATCGCAGCCCCAAGGAGCGTCTCATCCATCTTGATAGCCTCAAAAACATGAAATGTTCGAACATGGGTGGGCTCGTAACGAGAGTAATCCGGAGGAGCTGTTGCGTCCGTCGGGCTGACCGTCGCAAAGCTCGGCAATGTCAAGATACTCGGTGCTGCTGTTCGAGTATGGCTATCATCCTGAGGGTGGGGAATGTGTTGACGTGGTGGGGGAGATACCCTTGTATCTTCGAGCGACCATGCGAGATGATCACGGAGTTCACTGAATATAAGACGGGGAGCAATACGGATGACGAGGGAAACTCACGACTGATACTCCTGCATCGCAGACCGACCTTCTGATGAGAGAGACCCAACCGAAAATATAGAATCTCGCGTGCTTCTATTATCGGAATCCTGTCGAGTATAGGATGTAGCCTGAGGAATATGATCTACACTCCCATGGATGTACTGTGGGGGGTTGAACCGCTCGTGCAAGAATCTAATAATAAAATCAAAAAGAAAAACAGAAAACCAAGACAACTGGCATACCCTTCATAATCCCACAAAGATTCCCTCACCACTTCCTCGTCAACGTCATCTTCCTCCGCGATCTCCACCGCATAGCTCATCAGGGCCGCTTTGAGCGACAAGAGGACCCTTGGATGTTTCAGCGCATGGACTTCGATCTCCGTCCGGGGTAGAGGGATGAGCGTGGAGGGCCACAGCATGAGCCCCGGCGCATGCGTTAGCTGGTGGACTTCATCAGGAGGTCGACCCTTCTCCGGTCCAGGATCCGGCGGGGCGAGCGTCAGATGCATCGTCCGCACCTCCCTTGAGTGCCCAAAGATCTCCTGCAGCATCTCCACGATGAACTGACTTGGACAGAGATGGATCTCATATCTCGTATTATGCAGATGCTCAAAAAGGGACTCAAGTTCTCGTGCAGCAGAGGCTTGGTCCGTCCATGGGTCAGCATGAAACTCGGCGGGGAGAAGAGAGGAGGAGACGGAATTAGATGGACCGCTAGTGGGGGTCGATAAACTTGTGTCGTGTCGTTTGCCATTCAATGTTGCAGTATCAGAGGCCTCTTCTTCCTCCACGTCATAGTCCTCCTCCTCCTCCTCCTCCTCCTCCTCCTCCGTTATTGGATCGACACGATCACTGTCAGGATGCAGCTGAGAATATCGCGCTAATGAATCCGCGTCACTGGACTCATCGAGTGGTGCTGTTGGAAGGGCCGGCTTGCCATATGGAAAAAAAACGTGGTCATCAATCAGTTCTAATCGCCCACCGACAGTCAGCACGCGACAAGCTTCTCGGAGAACAAATTCCCATTTCTCGAAGGGTATTGCGTACGTCAGGTTGGACATCCGCACAAGATCAAACGAATCACTGGGAAAGGGGAGCTCATTTTTCAAACTGCAGTGACGAAGCTATCAGTACCTGAACACAAGGAAACAAGTGGAATGGACATACAAGTGGCCCTTAACAAACGAGATATTCTCTGAAACTCCATTCTGAGCAGCTGCAGCGCGAAGCGATTTCGTGATGTCAACCATATCGAAGCCTGTGACCTTTGTTCCGTAGCCTTTCCATGCTACAGCTGCATCTAGCATCCAATGACCCTCGCCGCAACCCAAGTCAAGCACAGTAGCGGGGGGATTGTTGCCATAATGGTGAAACGAAGGACCATCGACGCTGTTTAGATGCTTTAATAGTCCAGTACCTAAACGGTCCCTATACGGTTTCAGGTTAGTAGAAGGAAGTATGATCCAATGCGGGGACATACTGCTCTAACAATATCGAATCGTACGGATCGAGGGGGTATGAGTCGCGCTTAGACGGAGACGATGTCGATGCCCACTGTGGGTCTATGCTGAAACTCGTAGATCCTATGTACGAAGTTGTATCGACTGAAGACGGTCGGGAAGAAGAAGGATCTGAGGCCGATAAGTCAGAGGCTGTGTCGGCAGATTGGTCTTGACTAGGTTTCTTTTTCCTGTTTAAGGGTATACCCATGAAACGACGATGTGAGTCTCCGTGGCGGTCACTGTTAGCGGAGGACCTGGATTTCTTTTTCAAAGGTAGTTTGAGCATTGGAGGAGGCGAGCTCGGGTGCGCTCTTGACCTGGATAAGGGGAAGACAAAGCTAGATCCGACTTCTGTAGAGTTGTGCGAGTGAGGCGACAGAGACTTGGACGAAGAGCCGGAAGAACCAAGAATTGAGGTGTATGGTTCAGGCGACTGGCTGTGGGGTGGGTCCGATACAACTGGATGAACCCGAGTTTCAACCTGTTTCCCTTTGTCCTTCTTTGGCTTGAGCTTGAACTTTGGAGGGGGCGAAGATGGGTGTGCTCTGGACCGCGAGGATGGAAAGACGAACGAAGAGGGCGAGGCTGTGGGCTGGGAATCTGTGGATCCAGAGGAGTGGGAAAAGTACGAGGTCGGCGCATTGACGTCCATGGAGGAATGAGAGCTGGTATCTGAGGTCACCGAACCGGAATCGGAGGATTCTGCCCATGACTCGAGCAATGGAGGTGGGGGAGTCGGCATAATTATATTGTCATCTTTCCGTAGCGGCGAGAGCACACGTAAGGTATTATCAGGCACAGACGAGAGCGGCGGAACCAAGCCTAGGGGTGATCGTGGCTGCGCGTTGGACATTGGCGACGGCGGGAGGGCGCTATCTTCGTTATCTGTGTGTACCGGCTGCGGCGCTGGGCCAGGCGCGTACGACGTGGAAGGCATCGGCGAAGTTAGTAGGAGCGGTGGCGCATATTGGGCGGAACCTGTCGGGCGCTGTCGCAACACGTGGTAAATTGACAACGATCGACAATCAATGACATTATCCACGCACCAATGGTCGTAGGGCACTCAAGAAACTTTTCTCAGCATGCCCTTCCGTCGATGCTGCAGTTGTAGCCTTGAGCTGCTTCGACTTGGACGATGAAGTGTTTCCTGATTGCAGTCGTCTTCGTCCTGACGCGGCCCTAGACGACATCTACCTACCCCTTCATCATTCTATCTGATCGTGTGCACAGAACGTGAGGGACATACTGGTGGACTTGACGTACTATCAGTCTATTAATGGGAGCTCCGAGCAAACGAAGACGAGTCTGCGACGTCGTGAGTATAAAAAAGGGGACAAACGCGAGAGGCCTTCCAGGTGACCTGTCTGATACAGTGATGAAGGTTAGAAGGATGTAGGACGGCGGTTACCTCCGGCTGGACCGGATACAAATCTCAAAATGCTACTGAATAGCCGCGCTTGGAAGGCTCCTTCAGGTCTGCTATGATCTTGTCAAGCCCCTCATCCATCGAACAGTATCAGCAGATGAAATGTACTCACTCAATCAACCATCAGCACTTGAAGAAAAAATCGCTGTCCAGTTCGCCGCGCAAAGGCTGTGTTCCAAAATGTGACGGCATTCGTCGTGTTGAGGGTGACCCTGTTTTCCGGCGACATGTCGGAATTCCTGCAGATTCAGATAAGGTCGCACAAGCAGAGTGATCGTAATGGCTGTTTGAAATTTCCATTTCGATCCTAGAGCGATATATTTCACTTATATTTCCGAGCAGATCCGGGATCAGACTCCTTATCCAAGTCTTCCAATCGAAAAGAGACATACGAACCAAACCAATGTCGTATTGCGAGCCATTGGCGCTTAGGATATTGCAGATTGAGGGGCAGGAGGGGGCAAGATGCATAAGCTCAAGTTCTGGCCCACCGATAAGAGGATGTCAACGCGTGGGACCCAAGGTACCGTTCCTGTTCAACCCAGCAGTACCCGCGGGCAACCTCGAACTGGGCCGTGTTCCGCCTTCAAAAACAGATACCGCCTCCAGCATAAAAGAAATAAGCTTGTATCAGGACCTAGGCCTTTCAAGTGCAATGCAGGGAACGCAAATCCACAATGGCCACGCGATATGTAAAAGGCAAAAAGACACTTCTCAATTCATTTGGAAAAGAACGAATGTGAGTCGAGTCGAGATGGATATACAGTTGCTAGGTCCACCATCATCGAAGACTTTCGATAATATCCGAAATACGCATCCACCATCAGCTCAAATCACCGCTGCTGAAGCATAGACGGCGTTCAGCGTTTGACAACTTCTAGCGCCTGCAGCCTACATTCATTGAAACGTAGGGAGAGGCAAGCTGGTTCCCTTCGGCTTCGGAGTTTCCTATCTATCATGTGGGAAAATGATCGCGATTTGTATAAGATCAAGATCAATCTTTGTTGCTACTTTTATAGTACTAAGCCTAGGGTCTCCCTTCCGCTTCGGGGCCCTCCATCTTTGTCTGCAACATTCCTCCTCTCACAGCAGGAAGCATGGTCAATATCGAATACGATGCTTGTGCGTTATTTTCATTCTTTTTGGGGGGGGGGGTAAAAGGGCTCATGAATGAGTACAGCTGGCAGCATGACTATACAAAATGACGGAGAGACCGTCGTGTACAACCCTGGCGACATTGCATGGGTGCTCGCGAGTACCGCACTGGTGTGGTTAATGATACCAGGTGTTGGGTTTTTTTATTCCGGGCTGTTGAGGTGCGATCCCCATCCATTAGTATACTCTATCTGCTTACCCACTGTGCAGACGAAAAAATGCACTATCCATGATATACCTCAGCATGATGACTATCGCGGTGGTTTCCTTCCAGGTCCGTCTCCGCGCCTAACTTCAGTTCTGGTCTGACAGCACTATTACTAGTGGTTCTTCTGGGGCTTCTCACTGACTTTCAGTGACACGGCCAGCCGTTTCATCGGGGATTTGAGTGAGGACACACACGCCAACGTCTCGATTCGACTGACTGATTGACATCACAAGAATATTTTGGTCTCAAAGGTGTCCTTGAGCAACCTTCCATAGGAAGTGCTAGAATCCCGTCCATCGTCTTCTGCGTATACCAGCTCATGTTCGCAATCATTACGTACGTTTATTTATTAATCCCATGCCCGGGTATGGCGGCACGCCGGGACTTCTATACGTGGAGAGGACAACCAACTGACGGAATCATTTTTCTAGCCCAATGCTCGCAATAGGAGGCTTCGCAGAGCGTGCCCATCTCGGTCCTTTGCTTGCCTTCGTCTTCTTCTGGTCTACACTCGTTTATAATCCCATCGCATGCTGGACCTGGAATTCAAACGGATGGTCGATGGTCCTCGGAGGCCTAGACTTTGCTGGAGGAACTCCGGTGCATATCTCTTCAGGGACAGCGGCTTTGGCTATTTCTGTTTATCTTGGCAAGCGCCGGGGCTATGGCACAGAAGCTTTGGCCTACAAGCCCCATAACACAACATATGTGATTCTAGGTATCTACCTGAGTTCTTTTCTCTGTTGGAAAGTTATAGCTAATGGTGCAAAGGAACTGTATTCTTGTGGGTGGGATGGTTTGGCTTTAATGGCGGTTCCGCCCTCGCCGCAAACATGAGGGCCGCCCAGGCATGCATCGTCACAAACTTGGCGGCAAGTGTCGGTGGACTTACATGGATGCTCTGGGTAATGGGCTTTCCCTGTGACCTTTCTTTCACTCATATTTCTCGCTTTGCAGGATTACCGTATCGAGAGAAAGTGGTCTGCTGTAGGTTTCTGTTCTGGTGCTATCGCAGGACTCGTGGCCATCACTCCCGGCTCTGGATTTGTTGGTGCTCGTGAGTAATATTTAAGCGTCTTTACCGACGCCTAATAGAATCCACCTTGCAGCCGCGGCCGTCCTCTTTGGCTTCATGGCCGGCACCGTATGCAACTTTGCCACCCAAATCAAATTCTTCGTCGGTTACGACGATTCTCTCGATGTCAGCATCCCTCCCCCCTCCTTCACATCTGCCCCAGTCTCACACTTTATGTATTAGGTTTTTGCATCCCACGGCATCGGCGGAGTCGTCGGGAACCTTCTCACCGCACTTTTCGCCCAGGCGAGTGTAGCGCACTTTGACGGGACCACTATCATAAAGGGAGGCTGGCTAGATCGCCATTGGGTTCAGCTGGCTTGGCACCTCGCAGACTCGGCAGCTGGATTGGGTTATTCGTTCACGATGACCGTGAGTTTCCGTTTGTATTCCTCGTGCGTGTTCTCACACTCCACTTTCATAGACCATCATCTTGTGGGTCATGCACTATATCCCTGGGCTCCGTATACGCGTATCGGAAGAGGTGGAGGAGCTGGGTATCGACGAATCGGATATGGGAGAGTTTGCTTATGATTATATCGGTTTCGATGCCCCGTACTCGACCGGGTATAGGGAGAACCGGGATTCAGAAAACCAGTATTTGAAAGAACGGTCGAACTCGCATGTGCACTGATTATTTTGTCTCCACTGTCTTTTGTTTGCTTTGCTTTTTGTCTTATTGTTGTTGTCTTTTAGGTCGCGGAGCGTACATGTACTTAACCTATTATTCGCGCTCCTTTATAGATTATCATCGTTTTTAGTATCCATGTAGTCGTTTAATTCACGACAATAGAACTTGTATATCGTGGAGTCCTCAAGTAACCCGCTGCAGAGATAAGTATTGGCATCTTATGCAGAAGCGTTTTCAGATGGGGGCTTCAAGTCAGTCTTCAAAAGAATAACCTTGCTGTAAGCCATTGACACGAGTACGGATTAATTAAGGTCATGAGTCTTCACCTTATAAACATATAAATCGCCAAGCCTGATACTAGATCACATGGAATCAAGTTGAATTTCTACAGAAGCGGTAATCAGAAGGTCACAATACTAGTGAGCCCCGACCCACGTACATATCGATTACAGCAGATAACAAGAATAGTCGGCAAAAGCTTGGCGAATATCAAACAGCAAGCTCTAACGTTCAACTATGAAACGAACTGGGTCGCTTCGAACTGATGGCCGAATGAACAGTAAAATTGTTCATCACCTAGAAGTCATGTCGGTGGATTTACACGCTCAGCATACTTTGCAGCCAAGCGCAACAAGTCCTTATCGTCCTCAAACGAGAGCTTCTCCAGAGCTTCGTTAACTTCAAACAACGCAGACTCCTCAAACCCCTCCGCTATCATGTGTGTTCCAACGCGCGGAGCGCCCTCGGGATCATCCAACGATGCGACGTACCAGAATATCAATTTCACGTTCTTAGGTTTCTGGAGGGGCCTGATTGTAATAGCGAATGGTTCTGTGCATTCTTGCGACAGTCTGGGTACGTCTTCTTGGTGGGCTACAGACGCAGAGGGGAGGGTTGCGCGTGTAGGTAGTGCAATAGGGAGGAGCATACAGGCGTAGCCCGTCTCTTCCAGGACTTCACATACTGCCGTTTTTGCGAGGTCTTCTCCCTCGTCCTTGCGCCCCTTGGCGAGGAGCCATTCGTTGCGCCTTTTGTAGTATACAAGGCAGACTTTGAGAGGCTTGTCTTTAGAAATATGAAAGGCAATCGCCCCAGCGGCAAGGACGAATTGATCAGAGGAATGATTGGTTTGCTTCGGATATCGCGGATCTGGAGGGGGCGTGAACGGTGTATTCACGAGAGAACTTCGAAAGATACCCGCACGTGCTTGTTTAGTATTGCATGGTCGGTAGAACCACATGAATCCTGCGGTAGTACCAGCTAGGGCGGCTAAAAGCCACGTATCTGAAAATAAATCAGCCTGAAAGAAAGGACGAATGGAGCCTGGAGTGACATACGGTATTGATACATGGTGGAAGTCTGCAGGAACTCATCGGGCCGGTGCAGTTGTGGGTCCATATTGACTCATGGGGCTATTTATTTATGATCCTGTAATGGTGAAAGAAGTCTCAAAGTGAAAGAAATTAGGTGAGCATTGCTATCGCAGGAGCTTTGCAGGAGCGACATTTGTTGAAGATGGATCCGTAGGCCGTACTTATATTCTCTCTCTTTCTCAGTTACCTTTTTCGTACCTATCTCGATCACCTATAAAAGCTGCTCTGGCACATTGCCGTACCTCAGTCGTTTACACCTTCGCTGTGCCGACTGAGGTGCGTATATTCTTAGCTATATCAGATCTCTTACTTACCTTCGTGATACAGGACTCATTATTGTTCTTCGTCTTTAACATTACAGGATCTCGATTATTAATCTGGACTTGGTCGCACTGGGCCCGGTGTGAACTATCCAAGACGAAAAAAAAGCCCTTGATATATTGCCGAGACGCGCGATCAGAAAATCCTCTGTGCTTTCGCAGTGCGAAAGATGCATGAGAAGCCAGGAACAGCCTCGCTCCAGTCTATTGTCCGATACCCATCTTTATGAAGGCACAGTCGAGTATTTACTCTATTAGAAGACCCCCTGGCAGAGACTCATGTGAGATTCAACGGGAGCCGTTCCCGCAGCAAAGGATATTCTCGAAATCACGATTTCCAGTAAAGATAAGGGTTTAGTTTACTATGCATAGATAAACCTTGTCCGATGGATAGTCTAAACAATGTGTGAAGTAAATTGAGGGATAAGATCTTGCCAGGTAATTTCAATTCAGAGTATTGCAGTTCCGTACAGTCGCCGCAATGACAGACAGAAGAAGAGAAGTCTTGAGTATTGATCCAAGCGGCCAATCTAGAGAAAGAGATGATCAGCATGCGGTCGAATGCGACAACGCAACTCAACCAGTCCGTAAAAGATCGCCAAAGGTATGGTTCCGTGCCTTGCACGAAGAAAGCAGGACCTGTTAGGGCAAACCAGCCCAGGATCCAGGTACAGCTGGTTGGATGACGACTCGTTCGACCACAGTGCGAGTGATGAAGAATCTGCAGGTGCTACGGTGATGCCTGAGCGCCGGAGGTATGATGGTATCGCTTGGATCGTAACACAAACTCGGTATCATTGATCAGTCTGAGGACAGTCCCATCTGTCAAGCGACTCTGGATCATTTCCAGGAGGTGGGCGGGAGAACGGTAAAGTACAGTTCGACAGCAGATTAGACTTTTCGCGTTCCCGGTTGTCGTTTGGCAGTCCGACTTTGAGACGGCTTGAAGGACTGATTGCACTTTGTCATTTGTGCCACTGACTCGGAGCTGAACCAGACGATGATATGCGTGGATTGTCAAGCAAAGTACCTCAAGCAATATGGATCCCGCCTTTTCTCTTCTGTAATGATATGGTGATAGAAATTTCGTTAAGTGATGTCGAGTGCTTAACTACCAATGAAGACGGACTGAGATGAATCGCGAATCGCCATACTCTAGTACGATCCATCAACTAAGGCATCAAAGAGCTCAGACCCCATCCTCGAGAATGGCGGTGAGTGGTGGACGACCAGGGTCAGGAATAGACAGCGCGAGTTCACTGGCGGGAGTCTCAAGGAAAAGAATTGACCATAATTCATTTTTTGTTGGTTCATTTTAGTCCAGAAAAAATTAGAAGAGGAGGCCTTGAGAAACAAGAATAGGCATGAGAAGGGGATAAGGTTGTTGATCGTTGTTGTTCTCCGTCCTGACTCCCCCTTCAATGTCTGCTGTTCCTCGTAAACAAGCCCCACGTATTGCACGGCCCGCTGCACGATATTGGAAAGGAAAGGCTCCAAAGGGAGTTGCTGAGGTCGAGTCTGACTCTGATGAGGAGGCGCCCGAAGTTGAGGAAGAACGCGATGTCCTTATTGGAGACATTGTTCAGGAAGACGATGAAGACCTACCGACTGCTCAGAATGTTTCAAAGGCTAGAATAAAGGCTATGAATGTGTCTTTGAAAGATGTAAATATCTCGAAAGATGGAAAGGTTATCGTTGCAGGCAGAGACGAGTCAGGTCGAACAGCGCTAGAGGACGAGGAAGGTACGCTCGCTAATAGGATACTTGGCTTCACCCTTTTCTGACTTTATGACTTATAGGATCTGAAGAAGAGGAGTCTGATGAAGAAACGAAGCCTGGTCAACTGAAGGAGGAATCCGACGAGGTCTGTCATCTACTCTTTCTACTGCAGCGTTCTTACAAATCGATCTGTAGTCTAGCGAATACGAGACAGACTCAGAAGATGAAAAGCCAAAGATTCAGCTGAGGCCTGTATTCGTTCCAAAGTGCGCATATGTTAATCTAAACAACCTGCGTGCATGCTAACACGATCAAGTACAGGCGCAATCGACTCACTATTGCTGAGAAAGAGGCTCTGGCTGCAGACTCAGGAGAAGCACAGAGAAAGAAAGAGTTGGAGCTTGAAGAACGGAAAAAGCAGAGCCACGACCTGGTAGCAGAAAGCATTAGGCGGGAACTAGCTGAAAGTGAGCTTTTCATGCCGATTTTTTTTTGTTGTAGCTTATCGGACATTCAGAGGAGAAGGAGGATGATATACCGGATGTTGACGACACTGATGGCTTGGACCCTCCTGGCGAATTCGAGGCTTGGCGACTGCGCGAACTTGGACGAATCAAGAAGGAGAAGGAGGAAGAGATTCGCAGAGAAGAGGAGCGAGAAGAAATTGAACGGCGTAGAGCCTTGCCTGAGGCGCAGCGTTTGAAGGAGGACCTCGAACACGCTCGAAAGCTTCGGGACGAAAAGCCCAAAGGCCAGCAGAAGTTTCTTCAAAAGTATTGGCACAAAGGCGCCTTCCATCAGGTACATATATCACCTCAGGAAATTGACCTCTCTGACGTTGCGATAGGACGAAGAGATTCTCAAGCGCCACGACTACACTGAAGCTACCGAATCTACGGTCGACGTTTCATCCCTACCCAAAGTCATGCAAGTCAAAAATTTTGGCAAGAGAAGCCGAACAAAATATACACATTTATTGGATCAAGATACCACAGTCCCTACTGGAGGATTTGGCGGCATTGCGCCTGTTAAATCAGGAGGAAAATCCCTTGAAGGAGGGGGTTGCTTCTTGTGCGGTGGCCCACACTTGAAAAAAGGTAATTTGATTTGTATGTCGACCATCGTTCCTTATTATTATTCCCAGATTGTCCACAAAATACGGGACCCCTACCACTATCGGGTCGGGGCCCTGGAACAGGCTCGAACAACGTTTCGGGAGCATCGCGTTCATGGGGCGCACCTCCCCCACCACAGGACGGACAGTCATGGCGATCGAATGACGACGTCCGAGATGATGGTGGCCGAAGCAGAGGCCATGTACGGGACAACGATGGCCGGGGAGCACGTCGAGGAGATGGTGGTTATCGCCGACATGACAGAAGTAAACCGGGTGACCGCTATGATTATGATTCTCGAGACTCGAGGCGTAGGTCCCGATCTCCGCGTCGCACACCCGACGGTCATGATGATAGCGACAGAGACTATCGACACAGGGAACGGCGGCATTCTAGAGACCGTCTTGATGACCGAGATCATAGGGAGAAGCGAAGACGGATAAGTTGAATCGTGTATTTCATGTTATATACGGTCATCTCTCTCGGGTAAGACTTGCGTGGCAACTTGTTGATCGTGACGCGGTCAATTATCGTGTACAAGGCTGATAAATTCTTACCGTGGAATGGACGGCTACGCCATTGACGCTGATTCTCTGACGTATAGCGCACAAACGATGTCGAGAATGGTCAAAGTCGCGATAATAGGCAGTGGCGTAGTTGGTCTTACTGCTGCCTGCCTTCTAAACAAGCACTCAGGACGAAGATCCGTGCTTCGATGTTTATTTGTTCACAACGGCCTGTACCAGGACCGCATGGCATGTACATGAAAATCTTATCGTTATGCTCCAGACGTTGACCTTTAGGATGGTCAGTTCATTCACATCTTACTTACCTGTATCAGGTCGGGACCAAAACTGGAAAGTGGGTATTCCGATGCACTCTTTTCAAGGAGGTGACCATCCGAGCTGGTGTATTCTCGGCCGATGTGCTGATCGTATTGTACCATTTCAGGATACTACAAGCGGCTAATAGCGTTCTGCAATCACCTTAGGGTCAAGTTCGCATCACGAGATTTTTCTTACCCTTTTTTTCTCCTTTCCATGTCTGAAAAGGGCCGTCAACTAACAACAGAACTGATATACCATGGCGTTTCGGGGTTCGGCTAGCAAAGCAGACCTGGTGTTAACACTACGGGCAGCCTTGAAAGCTTGGACGATCGGGTTCTTTGTCATTTGGTCCATTCATATTCTTCTATCTGAAGAAAGTTGTGGCTCTCCATTCCCGTGGTGCGATCGTGACTGGGATCGAAACTAAAGTGGGTTAAGAAGACACATCTTACTAGTCTCTTCGCTAGATGGACGTGCTTCGGAGATGTTTGGACAGAATTCACTCAAGTTATCATTGTGCCGTCATTCTTGGCCGTCGCGTCGAGGAATTTCTAGGCATGGGATTGTTTCTGCTTTGCATCATGATTGTGATTCACGCGTTATTCAAATTGTGTCTGGTTTACCCTGGACGAAACGGGCGACCACAGCGACTTGAATCGACCTGAGCAGGTGTACTAATACCCATAAAGACTATAGCACCGCGATGTCCACCATCCTCGTACACCATGGTGGCACGTTCTACGCCGACCATTGATATAGATTGTACACCCCAGGTAACTTTAATCAATTATAAATTCGCCTGCCAGTCGCTGTGATTGTTGATAATCTTGAATTCGACTGGAACATTTACAATTCACGCGATGATGTTGTTAAATCACGTGATGTCGTCGTGACGATGTAACTATATTTGGAAAGTACTGAAGAGTTTGAAAAGATTATTCGAATTCTAGACCCGGACTCTGACTGCGACATTTACAACGAACATTTATGCGATTCAAGGGTAATATCTGGGCATTTTTCTGGTCGTATCCCTCTGAGAGCGAAGAACGTAACGTTGGATAGATGATTGGTTGGGGACGCTCACGGGACTACGGGTACAACTCGGCATCATGATTCTGTCTTAACCCATGGCTACGCCTGTGACGCTATGGTGTGAAACCTGACCATATCTCTCATGGCCACCACCCAAATCTCGGACCGATGTACGTACGACGCCCACTCGCTGTCCGTCCCCCACTTGCCCCGTATTTCCTCAGTCAACGCCGCAGACTCTGATCTTACTCTCAAGTCGTGCGACGGCGTCCTCTTTCGTGTACATCGCATAAACCTCGAGATGCATTCCCAGGTGTTCGCCAATGCTGGAGGGTCGACGATTCCAGAGCAACAGGAGGTCGTTACCCTCACAGAACGCGCTGAGGTGCTCGAGCTCATGCTTCAGTATATGTACCTGCAGCGCCAGCCGGACTTGAGGCACGTCAAATTTGAGGTGCTCAAGGACCTCGCTGAGGCCGTAGAGAAGTATGAGATATACTCGGCCATGGGTGTATGTTCCCAGAAAATGAAGTACGCTCCACTAGGGTCTGTATTGCTTTGTATTGAATTCGACTGGTGCTCTATCAGGGAGTCCATAGCGAACCACCCATTGGACGTGCTTCTTTACAGTGTTCGACACAAGTATGATGACATCATCAATGACTGTGCCGAAGCTAGTATCAACATGTCGACGACCGACATGCTAAGGTCTCTTCCTTCTGACATATTCGCCGCTTGGGTAGGTCACTCATACCTTCTATTTTTTTTCTATTGCTTAGCGCTTCTCAGATTCGATACCATCAGGATTGGACAGACCTGATGAACAAGGAGTATACGCGCTTCGGTCCTACGCGACACCACAAGGATGTCACCGTACATCACTGTGAAATATGGGCAGAGAACTACGCTTGTATCGCCCACGAGATTGCAGGCAGACCCCAGAATCTGCTCAAGTTACGATCGCTATTAGAGCGGAGGCAGCAAGCACTAGGGAATCGCTGCGAAGACTGTAAGAGGGAGTTGGGATATTGGTACCATCAGGCTAACAGGGACAGGAATGACTTGCCACAGTTTAGCGAATACCTTTAGCTTGTGGAATGGGAAGAACATACGTATCAAATAATGTAACGGAATATACTGTATATGTATACCAGTAGTTGCACATGTGGATGTTTTATTACGGAGATTCAACTTCAGGCGTTACTTATTAGCAGCAATAAGAAGTACGATAAAATAAAAGAACGAACTTGCAGGGGAGCCACTCATCTTCTTTGAATGCTTTAGGATTATTTCAATATCAATAGCTGTTTATTCTGCATGATTTTGCGAGGTGAGAGCGACGAGAACAATGGTGCCATGACCTTCCAGGTCAGTGAGTTATGTTGAGTAGTCAGACATTCCATCCATCTCAACAGCACGTCTGTCTTGTCCATTTTCATGTCGTACCGAAGCCCGACGAGAAAGAGGGATTGATTCTAGACATAGAGAAAAGTTGGCCTCAACAATCTCCTGATGAGACTGAACTTGAGGCTACTCAGGCCAAAATGGTTGGTCGTTTAGGATAGCTGAAATGGAAAAGGTTCTGAAAGATAGAAATGTACGGGGAAGAATTGAACCAATAAAAAGCCAGATATGATACTAGTACTGCAGCGTCTGAGAATTTCGGTGGTCAGGATGAGCACTCAGAGCGGGCTGATTACTAATTATGAATATATTATTTATAATAAATAATTGGATTTTTCAAACATGATGTTAATTTCCAACTCCGCTCGTTCTTCCCTTCCAAAACCTTGACCAAGGAAAAATGTCTGGAATTAATCCAGGAGATGAAGTAGGTGGTACCTTCGTTTGTGTACTTAATACTCACTCTCAAATCTCAGAAATTAGTGTTCGAGTCGTCCGAGGCCGTTTCTGTTATTTCAACGTTCGACGACCTTGGCCTAAAGGAAGACCTTGTCAGAGGAATATATGCCTACAGTGCGTGCAGGACTCCTTCGATCCTGTATCATGACCTCTTACTCTCTCAAATAGACTTTGAAAAACCTTCTGCAATCCAACAACGAGCCATCCTACCGATAACGCAAGGGCGGGATGTCATCGCCCAAGCTCAATCCGGTACTGGTAAAACGGCCACATTCTCCATCTCTATCCTACAGTCCATCGACGTATCCGTGCGCGAAACGCAAGCACTAGTCCTTTCCCCCACTCGCGAACTCGCAACCCAGATCCAGTCTGTCGTTTTGGCCCTTGGGGATTACATGAACGTTCAGTGCCATGCCTGCATTGGGGGGACTTCCATTGGCGAAGATATCCGAAAACTCGAGTATGGACAGCATGTCGTCTCAGGTACCCCCGGTCGTGTCTTCGATATGATTCGCCGACGTAGTCTGCGAACCCGGAATATCAAGATGCTGGTCCTTGATGAGGCCGATGAACTCCTTAACAAGGGTTTCAAGGACCAGATATATGATGTCTACCGCTACCTTCCCCCCGCGACACAAGTCGTTCTCCTCAGCGCTACTCTTCCGTATGATGTGCTGGAGATGACGACAAAGTTCATGACGGATCCTATTCGCATCTTGGTGAAGCGTGACGAGTTGACGTTGGAAGGCATCAAACAATTCTTCGTCGCTGTAGAGAAGGAGGATTGGAAGTTCGATACACTCTGTGATCTCTACGACACCCTTACCATCACCCAAGCTGTCATCTTCTGTAACACAAGACGAAAGGTGGACTGGCTGACAGAGAAAATGCGCGCGTCCAACTTCACCGTGTCATCTATGCATGGTGAGATGGTGCAAAAGGAGCGGGATGCGATTATGGCTGAATTCCGTGGGGGCACTTCGTAAGTGACCTTCTCTAACATCTTAACTTGCTGTCTTGACGCATAGTGTTGCAGCCGTGTTCTCATCACCACCGACGTATGGGCGCGTGGCATTGATGTTCAGCAAGTGTCGCTTGTCATCAACTACGATCTCCCTGCGTAAGGACCTCTTGAGACCTCATTTCCGTCCGATTGTAACTCTTTACACAGGAATCGTGAAAACTACATCCACCGTATCGGTCGTTCAGGTCGTTTCGGAAGAAAGGGCGTTGCCATCAACGTAAGTGACTCTGTTGGTCTCCAGACCCATTGCCTCATCATGTCTTTCCTAGTTCGTCACTGTGGATGATGTTCGTATCTTGCGTGATATCGGTCAGTACATTCCATTTGCATACAACCCCTCTCAAGCTCATCTTTGTCTCCGATGTAGAACAATTCTACAGCACTCAAATTGTATGTATCGATTTCCCTGCTCATCATCCCGGCCTGACTGTTTCTCTTCCAGGATGAGATGCCGGTGAATGCAGCGGAGCTTATTTAGCCGTCTCAGTGTGTACTAGTGTTCATTTACTTAACTCATTTATGTAGTTTATTGCTCTGAGTTTTCGTGTTGTCTTTGCTCATCCTTCTTGAGGTAGCATCGGCGTGTAATACGCTACGTGATGCAGTACTGACTGTCGGCGCGCGATCCTGGGTAAGAACAATCTCTGTCGGTTTATTTCTTGTCAAGCTAGTCGCATTACTGGCCTATCTCTACAATCCAAAGAATGGTAGGAGAGTGCGACTTCGGACAACCAGGCCACAGAAATATGAATGTAGTATTTGGAATACGCACAACAGCTCAGACAGAAAAAACGAAACGGGCTCGGGGATTTGCCGGTTTGTCCTGTCAGTGGTCGCACAATTTTATAGCGCTCAACTTTTCGGCCTATCTCGCGTCCAGTGTAATCTCGTTTTCATATATGCGGTGTGCTAAGGAATAGCCAACAGCTCGAAAGACTTTGAAAGATGGAGAAATCTCGTCGAAGTTCTCGTCACTGAGGGCCCCGGTTTGTGAAGCGCAATGTGTGAGAACCTGGTACGTTACATGTAATTTTTGTGTTTAATTATGATCTGCCTCCGAAGGAAGTTCCCATCAGCTTTGGTCCTAGCTAGTGTCATCGCCTGAACAATGTCAGCTCTCAGTGGACAACTATGCCCAGCTATTAAAAGTTTACGCATTCGCAACCCTACAATAACACAATGCCAAAGGGAAGTCAATGTTGAGCCTTCGATATCCACGACGCAACTATACGACAACCTTTCCAGCTGGGTCGTTGGTCATATAGCCTATCGATGCCTCAATAATCAATTCCACTATTGCCACCTCTTCCTCGTTGCGTGGTGCGTAAATAAACGTCCACTCTGTCGGTGGGCCGGGAACGCCTGGGCCCGCCAGCGGATGTCGCTGTCCCCATCCCTTCGACACAACTTCCTTCCCATCTTGGGCGGCTAGGGCAAGATGCAAGGTGTAGTCATGGTAATCATGCATGTGCGCGATCTCCCTCTTTGTTCTGCGCACGGTGTCGTGACTTGGGATGTTTTTTGCATCGTTGATGGGTACGGAGGGGAGCAGGAAGATTGCTTCGGCGTGGAACTCGAACTTGGATAGGCTGAGATGGGTGAGGTCGGTATGACGAGCTTGCACACGTGGAATGACTGTAGCTTTGAGTTCTTTGAGAGCAAACTCGGGGTCAGGCGTCTGGTTGCGCTGTGGATCGTCTCAATTAGCTATTGCGTGACGACGGCAAGCAACATTTTTCTCACTTGTCTTTGGATTATATGGCTGGTTGTGACGGGCCGCGGGCCATTGCGAGGAGGCAAGTCAGGTAGCCACCTGCGCTTCTCGGGAAGGTGGTCATATATCGCGAGGCCCTTTTGCTCCTGACGGAATAAGGAGAGGACACAGACGATGATGTATCCCTTGATGTTCTGAGGAGCGTAGGAGGGGCCGCCAGATAGGAAGGTCTGGTAGTCCCTGCGAATGTAAGGGAAAGCGATGGCAGAGGCGACTGCCATAGTACAACAAGCGACAGCTAAGCTGCGATTCTTGATACCAAAGAGATATCTGACGAGGTCGAATTTCATGCTGTCAATGAAGGACATGCTATGTAATGCTGAAAACGATATCTTCAAACATACGAGCCTTATACCATACCTGGTTATTCCCTCGATACAGCGACACCGGTGAGGCGTTAAATATACACCGACAGGGTCATCAATGTCGGGAGAAGTACTCAATCTTCTCGTCATTGTCAGGAACTTTCATCTCACCGGAGAACCAGGAGCCGTGGATTTCGGTTTACGCCAGTTAGTATTCCATTCATGTTGTCAAGCTCTATCCTCTCTGGGCTGGGTACGTGTTATAGCCTTTGACCCATGGTGCTAATCTTCATGCTCAGATTTGGTTTATCTGGCCAAAACACTAGTACCCCGTGCCGGGGACAATCGGGCTGTAAAAGGCTTTCGAGCTGGATAGTTGGGATTCTGTATCTCAAGACCGAATCTTCAGCTTGTCTTCTCGGTGTTCTAATTCAAGCATACGTTTTACGTATCTACAATGCAACAAATCGACGAAGTGTGCCCATTGAAAGTGATCGTTGTAGGTGCTGGACTTGGGGGCCTTTCTGCTGCCATTGCCCTTCGTAGGCAAGGCCATTGTGTCCATGTAGGTTTCTCAAAATCTCCTATAGACCATCAGGTGATGAAGTCGCCTTCCAAGATACTGGAATCGTCAAGTTTCAAGAGCGAACTTGGCGCAGGTCTCGCAGTACCGCCCAATACTGTACGCTCACTTCGAGGCCTAGGCTGTAACATCGACAATCTCAAGCCTGTGGATAATCTTTGTGTACGTCCTTATTTTATTGCCTTTTTTTGGGAAACAAAACCCATATTTCCTGTAGTTCACTGCCATGGCGCATGACGGAAGTCCTGGTATGATGAATAACATGACGGACTATGGCCAGGCGTATGGAGATGTAAGGATTTTAATGCTTTCTTTTACCCGCTAAGCTATTCATGAACACTTGGAAGCCTTGGGTAATGGCGCATCGTGTTGACCTTCACAATGAGCTCATGCGAGTGGCCCTTGAACCCGAAAAAACGGGACCTCCTGCCCAGCTTCGTCTGGACAGCCAGGTGGCATCTTGCAATGTAGATGCCTGTACCGTTTCTCTTGTCGACGGAACAATTTATTCCGCTGATCTTATCGTTGGTGCAGACGGAATTAGGGTGTGCCTCAAATTCTTTCACTGGTAGTGATGATCGTGCTAATGAGAAGCTTAGTCTACCATACGCTCCTATGTTTTGGACGCAGAAATAGACATACCTCCTACCGGTATCGCTGGATACCGTTGGCTCACACCTGCAGAAGCTTTGGAGCCATATCCCGAACTCGACTGGATCATCAAGAACCCACCCCTAGGAGCACGTTTAATCACAGCTCCTGTACGCCGAAACGACAGCATTGAGCAGTCGGGTCCTGCTCCTATTTCTGAGAAGGCTGACAAGCGTACGATCATCATCTACGCGTGCCGGAATGGTACTATGCTTAACGTTCTCGGTGTACACGATGACCCTCGCAACCAGAACGAAGTTGGTAAGCCTTCAGGAGAGCGGGGTTTTCTCAGTTTATTAATTCTACCCCAGGATGGAACGTGCCAGTTACCCAAGAAAGTTTGCTGGATTTTTTTAAAGACTATCATCCCCGATTCAAGCGTCTGCTTGAGCTGGCTGACAATGTTCATCTGTGGCAAATGCGCGTCGTCCCGCGGCTTGAGACTTGGATCAATAAACGCGTGTGTTTGTTGGGCGATTCTGCGCATGCATCATTACCAAGTACGGTCGACCTGCATGTTATATCGTGCGACTTGCTGACAACTATCTAATGCAGCACTCGGTCAAGGCTTCGGGATGGGACTTGAGGATGCCGTAGCCCTTGCAACCCTCCTTCCGATGGGAACCAAAGTGTCTGACATCGAGAACCGCCTCGTCGCCTACGAAAGCTTGCGTAAGGGGCGCGCTGAGTATGTGGCCATGGAATCGTTCGAACAACAGAATATCCCGGAAAAGCGAGGCTTGTATCTCAGGTGTAAGTGGTCTATTTCTTCAGTACATCGTACTAAGGCACAATTTTGAAGCTTCTATGATGCGTGACGAAATCATGGGTTATGATGTCAAAGCCGAGGCTGAGAAGGTTTTTAAAGAATTAATGACCTCGACTGATAAGGTTACATACCGTCCCCATGTGGACTGTCTATGGTAGAACCTCCGAGTCAATACATCGTATCTCTATCATATCCGTCTTCCTCAAGCAATGAGACAGACAATTCAAATATCCATAGTGCACCGAACTATGACCGAGCCGAGGAAACTGAAACAATGTTGATTGTCGAAGGTGAGAGTACGAAACGCACACCGCCCTACACCGTTTGACATTCTTTTGAAGCGATTGGACTCAGTAACTTGGAATCGGGAGATGCAGGCAAATTTCTCCCAGGATCATATAAGTAACTTCTAAGTAGCTTGTGCGTCAGCGAAGACTCGAAGACAGGGGAAGTGGAACCATTTGAATGTTTGAATGTTTGTCATACCTCCCCTATAGGTTGGTGACATCTCTTATCCGGTCCCTTGCACCTCAGGCTGTAATCACATCTGAGATCGCACAGCCTATGCGGTTACCAGCAAATTTTGTCATAGGCACAGCATCTAATAATGTCACTGAAGCTGAAACTTTAGACTGTTCCGATAAACCGGCACCGGCGGTTACGATGTAGAACTTGTATCCTCTTTCAAAGTCATGTTTCTCACCAATTGTTATCCAGTTGTCTTCGGCGGCAAAAATTTGCGGTATCGGTGTTTTTTTTTCCCAGAGTTTAGATACGTCTGGTGTTTGTTCTAAATGTATACGAATTAGTACATTTTTGTACCTTCATACAATGTATGTTCGACTTTTGGTCCATGTTGAGTTGCCGTATCGTCCGGGCATTCCTGATCCTCACACAGAACGGTATATTGTCTAAGTCTTAAGACGGAACTAAGTACTGCGTAAGAACGTCTTTGAACCCACTTGCCCGACAGGCCGCAATTCTAATATTCAATAACGATCATCTTTTTTAACGTTAAAAAGATGATCTTTCACCTGTCTAAAGACATGACGTTGCAGCCAGGCTCTGTGAATGATACTCCCGGCGGCGTCAGGTTGGTCCAAAACCCATATCTGCACCTTTAGAGACGAGGATAGAATGTTGACTTTGATGGACAGTGGAGTCGGTACGCTTGCGAACAGTGTCGCAAAGGGGAAGACTACCTCCCTTTAGTAGTTCGAAACACTACTTAATGGGCCCGTTAAGATTGTGATATGTATGAGCATCTGGATGTGGTTCATAGTGAGGCAGTCGTGGTTTCGTGAAATGGAGTAGTACCCTGGTAGATCTGAAGTTGGTTTACGGTTGCCTTCAATTAAAGAAATACCAAACTGTATTGTCTCTTTGGGTGCTACGATTCTAAGCCATTAGGCAGTTTTTCTATAATATAACCCGATTCTGCAATTATTTATTCTTCTTACGAACCAATCGTCGACCAAAAGCTGTACGGTATGATAAGTTGGAGCTTGGCCACAAAGAAGAGGAACTTACAGCGCGATCAGGATGCTCACACATAACATCAAACCGCTTAAATATGGAAGCAAGAACAATGCGAAGCTGAACCATTGCTAAGGTTTTGCCTATGCATGCTCTGGATCAATAAAAATGTTAATGAGAAACCGACAGTCCACCGAACAGAGACAAGGTACTCACGCTGGTCCATCAGAGAAAGGTTTGAATGCTCTTCTCACCACCTCGCTGCTTAGGTTAAGCCAACGGTCAGGATTGAAGGTTTCAGCATCATCTCCCCAAATCAAAGGGTTGTGATGAAGGCTATAGATATGTACACCGACAGTGGTCCCTGCAACAATGTCGTTGCCGGAAATTGACATACCACCCTCGGGGACGACTCGCGGAAGACCACCTGGGACAGCAGAGTACATGCGAAGGGTCTCGTTAATGCATGCGCCGAGATACGGCAGCTGTTGGACGTCTTCGATGGAGACAGAACAATTCCTAGGTATGTGTGCATCGAGCTCGGCATGAAGGTTCGCCTGAATTTGAGGCGACCTTGATATATAGTAGATGGCAGCGGCGAGGGAACTAGAATAAGTAAGTCGAAACCTCGAGTACTAAGTATACACAAACAAACTTTCTTGTCGTATCGGAGCCCGCAACAAGTATTGTCAGCACTTCAGCGATTAATGATTCTTGTGCAGATGTCTATGGGGTAAATCAGTTATAATATTTGGTAACGTTCTAGGTCCTTTACTTGTGGGTCCTGTCGCTGAAGGAATTCTCCAACGAGATCCATGGTACCTCCTTGGATCCCAAGGGATAAACGTTGCGACAACAGATACGCGACGGTCTTGGCGACCAGTAACCCGTTTTTTAACGGTCCTCGCAGGATAGCATGACCCAATGGCTTCCACCAAGCCGGGAGTATCCCAACGAAGTAATTATATGTCTCCCGGCTACCAGTGATATGCATGAGGGATATTTCCATAGTTCCCTCTGGTCTTTCATCGTCAAGAATGAGACGTGCGTCCTTAGGAATAGTGACAATGTCTTTGGCTGCCATGACCATACCAAAAGACTTGCCAAAAATAAAATCACTCATGGAATCGAAGGCCAAAAAGGCGCACCCTATTATTCGTATGAGGATCAACAAGAAGGAATTAAAGAGGTAAATTTAAGGCTTACATGGAAGACAGTCGAACCAGACGCATTGGACATCCCTACTTTTGGATGGATCTGCGAAGCGAGTATCCCACTCCTTGAGAAGAAGGTCGACAACACAAGTTATCCGAGGAGCAAACTCAGAGACAGTTTTTGGTGTAAAAAAATGATACATCATCTTTCGCTTTTGGACGTGTTCAGTTTTTTGGCGGGTTGCGAAGATAGATGGAAGTCCAATGGTAGCAAAGGCGTCGTAAAAGTTGGATTTCGTGACGCACGAGCCTCGGGAGTAGATAGCAGAAAAGGCACTGGGACTGCAGAAGGAAAGTTCGGAAGGCGAGATACGAACTACTGGACCTGTAGAAAAGATGACCCTTAAATTAAGGCAGCACACAGAGTAGTATACCTGAAAGACTCACCGTATTTTCTATGCATCTCATGTAGTATTTGTGAACGGCGAAGAGTCCACCCAGTGCACACAAGCCAGAGATAAGAGAATTTGGCAAGGAACGGGCCTGGATATCTTCGCAAGCTATATCGATCCATCCAGTAGGCATACACATTGAGAGCGACAAGAACGAAGACGACTTTTCCGATGAGGAAGGATGTACTAAGGATTCCGATATAGGTGAACTCCATCGTGGCTTGGACGGCAGGCTGAAGAACCTGCCTTTTTATTTCTTTTAGCGACAGTGCCACTAGCGAGGATGTAGACATTATTTCACAACATGTGATCCGGGTAGGACAGGATCTATATTTCGAATCTGAAGTCAAACAAACGGCCGAGAGGTGAGGAGCCAGAGAGGACAGCACGGAGACGATTTCATACTCCGGGCGAGACACAGCTTCTGAAACCCCGAGTTACCATAGCCTATAGCGCCAAGCAACAAGTTTATCAATCATCTCCAGAAGATCGTTATTTCGTGTTGTACCATCTGCAGGGAGTCGCCGCGGAAATGCATCAATCAAGAATAGTCTTGACGCCACGAGATGCCTGTCAGAAAAGTGAATTCAGTACAAGAATAAATGTGTATCGTGTCGAACTCTGCAAAAATCCCGGGTGCCTCGCGCTGTGAGGGGAACTCTCGGTGAGGGGAACTCTCGGCTGTGGGAAGACCCGGAAGGACGACGACGCCGATCAACCAAAATGGCAATCTATCGTAATCCATTGAATGACTTACCCCTTCATGCAGATCATTGAGTCTGGTTTACAAGACTAGATTTTTTTGGTCCTCCTCTCTGGGTCTTTGTTAATATAAAGAATTTGGACAGTGCAATTTCGAAGTATATGAACAATATGCAATGGCAGATGTTTCTGGTCTAACAATGATTTTTATGCTGATCCGATTTGTACAGTGCAATTCCGTGTATGTTGGATATCGTTCAGATCTTCTCAAGATCTTCCTGATCAATTCAGCTTTGGCCAGTCTCGCCGCCAGTCTGCAGCCGGCCGCCAGAATAATAGTGTCCCGGAGGTTTTCATCCCTTCCTCAGGATCATAATTTCGCTAGCAATGCAAGCGTTCTTCCTGTCAAAAACCTCGGGGGACGGAACATGAATGGAATGGTCTTGTTCAGCATGAAATGGGATGGCACTTCTCATAAGGATCACTTGGCTCGTAGTATGAATCCCCGCAACCATGGCGGCCGATAGGCACTTTTCTCTTCTCGATGTCTTTCTCGACGTTGCCCATAATGCTGAGACGTCACAACGCAATATTTTGGAATGCGGCCTGGACACCTGGACATACTCAGATTTGGACATCATCTCGTCGGCCCTGGCCCAGGATCTCAGTACTACCTTGGGTTGCTCTCCCAGGGTTGCAGTCGTCAGCGAGAACCATCCCTATGTATTTGCTCTCATGCTGGCCGTATGGAAGCTTGGAGGAATATTCATCCCCATCGACGTCCATGTTCCCGCCGAGCTTTTAACGGGCATGCTACGCATCGTTGCTCCAGACTGCGTGGTGATTCCTGAGACTGATCTTTCTAATCAGCGCGTCATCTCTGGTAAGCCTGACGGTACACATAAGATTCATTTGCACTTATTATTCACTGTCCCGTTCCCTATGCTAGCACTTTACCTCCACGTTATTCCCTTCAATGTCAATGCGTCGACAATGTCTACACTTCGACAGAAATATGTCCTATCTACTCAGAAACCCTTGCTGTCTGAGTTCCCTCTTCCTCATGTTGATCGTGCATGCCTCTATCTCTTTACGTCCTCCGCGTCTTCCACCGCCAACTTGAAATGCGTACCTTTGACTCATGCACTTATCCTCAGCAACTGTCGTTCCAAGCTTGCATGGTGGCGGCGTGTTCGTCCAGAAGAAAACATGGATGGGATGCGTGTTTTGGGGTGGGCGCCTTGGTCACATATTCTCGCGTACATGCAGGATATTGGGACAGCAACGCTCCTGAATGCAGGCTGCTATGTCTTTGCATCTGTTCCGTCCACATATCCTACGCAGCACGTAGCCAATGGCCTGCAAGACCCCACTTCAAATATAATCAAGTCGCTTCTCAACCGCCGTATCACGGCGTTCGCATGTGTGCCGTTCATTCTTAGTGAACTGAAAGCTATGTGCGACCCAGCTTCCGGTCCGGACGCCAAGGATCAAATGTGCTTGGGAGCTGGGGAGAAAGTGCGTCTTATAAGCACACTGCAGAATCTCATCATGTTCGAGTGTGGAGGCGCTGCGCTCGAGGCAGATATCACGGATTGGACCGTCGAAAATGGTATATCAGTCATGGTCGGTATTGGAATGACGGAGACCGCCGGCACGGTTTTGGCAGCGCGTGCACAAGACGCTCGTTCGAATGGCTATTCTGCCGAAGAGGCTCTCATCGCTGATGGCATACTATCATTGGTCGGACCTGACGAGGAGGAAATGGCCTTTGGTTGGTGTTTTCCTCTTTCTTCTTCTATCGCCGTGAGCTGATACTCTATACAGACGGAGAACTTGTCGTGAAAAGCAAGCTCATCCCACATGGATACATCAAGTACCACGATTCGGCATTTTCAGTGGACTCAGATGACTGGGTGACGTTCAAAACTGGGGACAAATATCAGCGTACACCAGATGGACATTTCAAGTGGCTTGGAAGAAAGACCGATTTTATTCAGGTCCGTGAACACGGTTTTACGCATTAGATAGTGCTGATAGTCCGTATAGATGACAAGCAGCGAAACCTTAGATCCCAGACCTATCGAAAAAGCCCTCTGCATGAACCCCATTATCGCAAATGCGTGTGTCATTGGTGACAGGTTTCTAAGGGAACCTGCGACGGGTGTATGTGCCATTGTCGAGATCAGGTCAGATGTGGATATGGCTTCCGCCGAGGTTGACAGGGAGATTGCGAATGTCCTCGCTCCAATCAATCGTGATCTTCCTCCGGCTCTTCGAATAGCATGGTCTCGCGTACTCATAATCCGACCTCCTCAGAAAATACCACTCACAAAGAAAGGTGAGGTGTTTCGCAAGAAGATTGAAGATATATTTGGCACCTTCTTGGGTGTCGGTGTTACTACCAAGGTGGAAGTGGACCATGAAAGTAAAGAAGGTCCGGTTTTTCCAGTCTGTATGTTATAAGTCATGCTGATGAACACAATTACTCATTCTAGATGATACGGAACACATCGTGAGACAGGTTGTGAGCAATCTTCTTGGAGTCCATGATCCTGAGCTATTGTCTACTTTATCTTTCGCTGAGGTGCGTCTTGTTCTGTAGTCACGCAATGATGTGTGCATTTCATGGCTTTTTTTTCAGCTCGGGATGACCTCATTTATGGCCGTTAGCATCGTTAACACTTTAAACAAGCATATTGGCGGCCTCGCACTTCCACTTAACTCATGCTACATTCATATTGATCTTGATTCTCTTGTAGATGCCATTTCACTTGAACGTGGTCATCGAAAGAACCCTACGCCCTTTTCTTCTAACCCTTTCCTCGCCTTTGAATCCAGCCAGCAAAAGGATATGGAGATTGTGATTGTTGGTAAAGCATTCCGTTTGCCCGGCTCACTCGACAATAGCACCTCTCTCTGGGAAGCTTTGTTGTCAAAGAGTGATTCAGTCATCGGTGACATCCCACCCGATCGCTGGGATCATGCAAGTTTTTACCCCCACGATATATGCTTTACGAAAGCAGGCCTTGTCGATGTTTCCCATTATGACTATAGATTTTTCGGTCTCACTGCTACAGAGGCGTTGTACGTATCTCCGACAATGCGCCTCGCCTTGGAAGTGTCATTTGAGGCTCTGGAGAATGCAAATATTCCCTTATCCAAGTTGAAGGGGACACGAACTGCTGTTTATGTTGCCACTAAAGACGATGGGTTCGAGACACTCTTAAATGCTGAACAAGGCTACGATGGTATGTTTTTGCTTTAGCTCGAAGATTTTACTCATCAAAATTTAGCCTACACGCGATTCTACGGCACGGGACGTGCTCCGAGTACCGCAAGTGGCCGTATAAGCTAGTGTGTACATCCCCTTCCAATGAAGCTATTCGGCCCTCATTTCACATCTAGTCTTCTTGATATTCATGGACCTTCTGTTACCGTTGACACAGCATGCAGCGGAGGCATTGTATGTATAGACCAAGGTATCATCATGCCGAAATTTTCAATGTTACAATTAAAAATTTATTTATTTCTAGCCATCACTTTTCTGCAATCCGGAGGGGCAGATACTGCTATTGTTTGTTCGAGCAATACGCACTGTTGGCCGGGATCATTTATGTTCGTAGGAGATAGACTGAACATCAACAAACTTACGGATACCATATAGGTTCCTGACAGCGCAAGGCATGGTCTCTCCAAATGGAAGATGTGCCACATTCACTACAAATGCAGATGGGTAAGTGCACCTAATACTAGGTATTAGAATCGACTTTCTTACAGTGCAGTAGATATGTACCTTCAGAAGGCGCAGTGGCTTTCGTTCTCAAGACACACAGCGCAGCAACACGCGACAAAGACAATATACTGGCCGTGATAAAGTCAACAGACGTGTCTCATAACGGCCGTTCTCAAGGGCTAGTTGCACCAAACGTAAAGGCACAGACAAACCTACACCAGTCGCTGTTACGAAAAGCTGGGCTGCATCCTGATCTAATTAAGTCAGTCACAGACATTTTTCATTGGATGAGTTTATTGATTTGTCAATCACAGCTTTATCGAAGCTCATGGAACAGGTCCGGTCGTTTTTTAAAGCAGAAACTCCCCCCTCCCATTTCTTTTCCAGGTACATCTTTAGGAGACCTTTCAGAAATCCAGGGTATCAATAATGCCTACACCTCATCTCGACCTCGTCCAGCCGGTCCTCTGATCATTAGCGCGTCAAAAACGGTTTTGGGACATAGTGAACCAACTGCAGGAATGGCCGGCATCCTCACAACCTTGCTCGCCTTTGAGAAAGAGACGGTTCCTGGTCTCAACCACTTAACGGAACATAATTTAAACCCTTCGCTTGATTGCTCTGCAGTGCCTCTCCTGATTCCTCACGAGCCTGTTCATATCAGTGGTGCAAAGCCCCATCGAGCTGCGGTTCTGTCAGTTTTCTAGCCCTACATCTGTTTTTTTACCCCTGTTCTCATATTGATGCAGATCATACGGATTCGCGGGGACACTGGCTGGTACCATCTTAGAGAGTCCACCTTGCGACCTTACAAGGCCCTTGTCAAACGACATACAAGAACATCCTATGATTTTCGTCGTCAGTGGGAAAACGGTGCCCTCTCTGGAAGCATATCTAGAGCGGTATTTGGTATTTTTACGGGTCGCAAAACCAAGCGAATTCCATGACATCTGCTACACCACTTGCATCGGGAGGGAGCTGTATAAATACCGGTTCTCCTGCGTTGCCCGAAACATGGCCGACCTCATTTCTCAAATTGAACATCGACTGACGACTTGTTCCACTTCGAAAGAGAAGCCCCGTGGCTCGTTAGGATTCGTGTTCTCGGGTCAAGGTACCCAGTTCCCCGGCATGGCAGCAGCACTTGCCGAACGATATTCAGGGTTCCGAGCGCTCGTCTCCAAGTTTGGGCAGATCGCCCAAGAGCAGTCGGGCTACCCGATCGATAGGCTGCTCCTCGAAGTTACCGATACATTACCAGAAGCAAACAGCGAGGTCGACCAAATTTGCATTTTTGTCTACCAATATTCTGTTCTGCAATGGCTGCAACGTCTAGGCATTCAACCGAAAACAGTCCTTGGTCACAGTCTAGGAGAAATTACCGCCTCAGGTACATGTATTCCGCTACCCGAATGGAAAATATAGGTTATTGACATAAACTATTAGTCGCAGTTGGCGCCTTCTCTTTTAGGTCTGCATTGGACCTTGTGGTCACCCGCGCTCGTCTTCTTCGTCCTCAACCAAAATTCTCTGCGGGAATGGCTGCAGTAGCAGCGTCCAAGGAAGAAGTTGAAGGACTTATAGATATGCTCAAACTTGCGGAGTCGCTGAGCGTTGCGGTTCATAACAGTCCACGGAGTATCGTTGTATCAGGCGCATCAGCTGCGGTCGATGCCATGGTTGTCGCTGCTAAAAAGCAGGGCTTGAAGGCCTCCCGCTTAAAGGTTGACCAAGCCTTTCACAGCCCTTACGTTGATTCTGCTGTATCGGGGTTGCTCGACTGGTCCAATAAGCATCGTTCGACCTTCCTCCCATTGAACATCCCTTTATACTCAACTTTGACTGGCGCGCGTATTCCGAAAGGAGGGAAGTTCTGCTGGGATCACTGGGTGAGATGAGTCTTGATACATGTATCCACAGGCTTACGATTTGCGCCAAGGTTAATCATGCTCGAAAGCCCGTCCAGTTTGCGGCGGCAGCTGCAGCAATGGACGAAGATCAATCCATCGGTGTTCTTGTTGATGTTGGACCCCAACCTGTTGCGTGGACCCTCCTTCAAGCGAATAACCTCCTCAATACCTCTTCGATTGCTCTATCAGCAAAAATTGGAAAGGATCAGGAGATGGCGTTGCTCTCTGCTTTGAGCTACCTCGTCCAAGAGCACAACCTTTCTCTCAGCTTTTATGAGCTTTACTCTCAGCGTCACGGTACTCTGAAGAAGACAGACGTTCCTACCTACCCGTTCCGTCGCGTCCACCGCTACCCGACTTTCATACCGTCACGGAATAGAAGTCCTGCTGACATGAGGGTAGCTATACCACCTACCGACCTCTCTGTCCGAAAGAATGTGGATGCAACACCGCAGTCTCGTCGTGCTGGCCTGATAGCCTGTCTTAAAGTTATCCTCGAGTTAACACCAGGAGAGGAATTTGGTGCGTAGTTACATAAGGCAATGATCAGGTTTATTCTGCATATTAATCCTCCATGTAGACCTTTCTGAGACTCTCAATGCTCGTGGGGTCGATTCAGTTATGTTCGCACAGTTGCGGAAGCGTGTTGGGGAAGAATTCGACCTAGATATACCAATGATCTATTTATCAGACGTGTTCACGATGGAACAGATGATTGACTACCTCGTCGAACAGTCCAGCCCCACATCAAAGTTGGTAGAGATTTCGGTTAATCAATCATTAGACGGAGAAGGCCTCCGGACAGGGCTTGTATCATGCCTTAGGGACGTACTGGAAATCTCCTCCGACGAAGAACTTGGTGAGTAGCCATTCAGGTACCTATTTCGTGCCTTGTTGAAATGGGTACCACCAACAGACTTTTCCGAAACTTTGAACGCTCGTGGTACGGACTCAATTATGTTCGCTCAGCTACGAAAACGTGTCGGGGAAGGATTTGGTCTTGAAATTCCGATGATATATCTGTCTGATGTGTTTACCATGGAAGACATGATCAATTTCCTTGTCTCGGAGCGCTCGTGCTAGTCGGTTGGCCATATCGCCAGTCGTCGAGACCGTTACTACCAAGTCGCGTTTCTGTTTGTTTGTGAAGCATTTGTACTATTACGCCCTTTTTGCTACAGCTATCTGCTATTTGAATTCCAAAATCCATCGGTATTATTCTGGATAGCACAACTACTGGAAGCATTGAAGAATAAATGACATAGATATCCATACAATGACAGTAGTATAACAGGAAGGACTGTGTATATATGATTTAGACATGACCCATATAAACAAAGCAGACAGTGTAACAAAACAGTAATGCAATGGTACTAGAACGCGCCAGTAGAAGTGAATGAGTGCGATGTTAACCATCGGATGATACAAGTGAAGGAAATGACGATCCTGGGAGTCAGACGAATAATTTACACCAACTCAGCAATGTCGGAAGGGATGCCGCTCCTAAGACCCTCGGCCCAAAGACCGATGCCAGTGCGATGGCCCTACGATATTCGAGACTTGTCAAAGCGAGAAATTGTTCACCGAAGCTAAATTCAACCAAAATTCAACGTCGTTCGCAAGCTCTCGAAGGAGTCAAGAACAAGTCCGAAATGAGGTCGAGCGGGAGTCCGAAGTTCCTTATGGATGTGAAACCGGGAATATAGCGAATGAGATCCATATACATGGCGGCAAGACTGATGAAACCGTGGTGAGGGGTGATATGCAGACCAGACGAAGTGAGAACGATCACAGACTGCAAAACCCGTGACCCTGACAACGGCACACGCTGACTAGAATCGAAATGATCATTCTGGTAACTTGTTGGCACGATATAGAACAGGGTAGTGAAGAAGCTTGCTCATTGCCCAAGCAGAGGTTAATGAATGGATGTAAAACTTGTAAATATATGCAGTCCCTGCTCAGAGTCGAGACGTGTTCTGTGCAAGGAAGGACTCGGAACCGGTCCGTGTGGCTGTGCCGACGCGTCAATCACGTGAGAAAACGTCATAGTTTGCATTTTTGTTTCGCTCACCAACAGACTTGGGTCTAGGTATTGTTTGCTGATATCACCTCTTGGTTCCGAACCATCACCTTCTACCTTCTGTTACCCTCCCTCACCGTTCTTCCTCTTCCTTCTTATACCACGATGCCTCCTCGACGTTCTGCTCGGGCTGCGTCAACCAAACCAGCGTCGAAACCGGCCCCAGTGGCCAAGAAGCCTGCACCACGGTCTCGCTCCAAAAAACGGCCTGCCTCTCCCGACCACGAAGCCTTACCTCCTCCTGCTAAGCGGAACAAAAGTGAAGAGCAGAACGTAGATCCTGCTGCTGAGAGCAAAGCCACGAAACCCCGCACTACCAAAAAACCTAGAATCAAGGCGGATGTTTCTGCTGAAGGAGTCCAGTTGAAGCCTTACCTCAACCCTCTTCCTACGCCATCGGAAACTAAGCGACCCAGTCTACAGCTCTTTGCATGGGGCGCTGGCAACTTTGGGCAGTTCGGCATGGGCCCTGACGTCCTCGGAGAACTGGACAAGCCACGTAAACACCTGTGGGCTGAGAAACAGATACAAGAGGGTGTATTTGGGCTTGATGCCGCAGGCCTTGAAGCCGTGGCGGCAGGTGGCATGCACAGTCTCTTCGTCGATGAAAGTGGCAAGGTCCGTTGGTCTGTGCCCACTCTTGACCTCTTCCTCAAGTTTTTGATCCCTAGATATGGTCTTGCGGTCTTAACGATGATGCTGCTCTGGGACGAGTTACGCAGGACGTGCCTGACCCAGAGAATCCTGGGTCATTTATCGATATCGATACGTTGACAAGTATTCCACATCCTTTACAATCCCTTGTAGAAGAGAAATTCCGGGCGGTGCAGATTGCTACTGGTGACAGTATATGTGCCGCTGTCAGCGCAGAGGGCGATTTGCGAGTTTGGGGTTCGTTCCGAGTATGTGCATCACGGAACGTGAACCGTCATCCAACTAACACATGTTATCCTCCAGGTCAATGAGGGCTCTCTGGGATTCTCCAACGGGCTGAGACATCAGTTCTTACCAGTACCAATATCAATGAATCTCATCCACAAACCGGGCGACACCGAAAAAGTTTCGTCAATCGCAGCAGGTGGCAATCATCTAGTGGTGTTGACCACACATGGTAACATTTACACATGGGGTGCTGGCGAGCAAGCTCAGCTTGGAAGAAAAGTGCTTGAACGCCGCAAAATCCATGGCACCGTTCCAGAGAAAGTCACCCTGGCTACTCGGGGACGTAAAGGCAAAGTTATCGGTGCTGGCGTCTACCATTCCTTTGCTGTGGATGACAGCGGTGACGTCTGGGGCTGGGGTTTGAACACGATGGGCCAATTAGGTACAGGTTACGACAGTGAGGCTGATTCGCAAGTTCAGCTCCCCAAGAAGGTCCACAATTTGAGTCCCGCCGATCTGGGCGGCGAAACCATCGTCCAGATCGTTGGAGGTGAACATCACACGTTGTTCTTGACGTCTGCTGGAAAGGTGTACGCTTGCGGTCGATGCAATGCCGGACAGCTTGGGTTACCAGAGGAAATGCTCAAAGATGCCGAGCACAAAGACTTTGTACCCGAACCCGTTCAGGTGCCCTTCCCTGATGACGATGACCCAGTTGTCTACATCTCGGCCGGAGTGCACAATAACATGGCTGTTACGAAGGATGGTGCGCTATATTGCTGGGGACAAGGTACGCAGGGCGAGCTGGGTGTTGCAGATGTCGAAATTCGAAGACCACATATGATTGTTCGACGGGAAGGTGGTTCATGGGCAGCTGTGAAGGTTGCTTGTGGAGGACAGCATACACTTGGTTTGTTCAGAAAAAAATAAACAGCTCCATCTGCGCTCTATTAATTCTTCCTATCTACATCCAGTACACTGTTGTTACTCCTAGACGTACACATTGTATTTATTTTTCTATTATCATCACTAGGTTCCCGAATCTAAAATCAAACTCGGACATTAACGTTGAAGTGGGTTAGGAACTTTTTCTCGCGCCACAGACGCGTCGTGCTGATCTCGTCACAGGGTATATATAAGGTGTACCGAGTTTTTCTCGCTATTCCATTTCTGCTTCCTTCTACGATGGCGCTGCAAAGGTCAAGTATTTTACTCTATCAGCTTTTACTTTTTAGTGCGAGATGACTTGACTGCAATTCCTAAAGGCTACACCTTTCTTAACAGGAATACCTTTGTCTCTGAAAAGAGCAAGGCGATCCTGTCTGACCTTCTCGGCTAGGCCGAAAAGAGAGAACCTACGCCAATGACATGTACATCTACAATGGTAAAACTCGTCTTCCCTTTGCACCATCTTCTAACGACCTTTGTGCATCAGATTGCTACTCATACGCTGTCCTGGACCTCATCGACAACACTATCGACGACACTCTGAACAACAAAGTCAAGAAGAAGGACTGGAATGACGCGATGGACCTTCTTGAGGTGCTTACTCTCTTTTTCGACATAGAGTCCTTTTGGCCAAGTCCGCACTTCTAGCTCGTAGTGACGCGTCTGACCTGACTTCCTTTAGGTGTGTGACGATGGCAACCTCATTACGATCGCCGACAGTGCATACGGCTCGCTGCTCATCGTAGTCCTGCGCGCGGTGACACGAGCCGGCCGCCTCGACACGACCAACTACGCCAGCCTCAAAACCCTTCTGAAATGCGCTGCGGGCTGGGGCGAGTCGATGCCGAGGGATGCTGGATACAGCGGCATCTGCAAGGCTATCGGCTATCGGCTGTTCAAGAGCAAACCGGAGAAGCAAGTAGCGTTAGAAAAGGCGCGTGTGGATGAGTGGGACACCAGCCGGTGGATCTACGAGGAGAAAAAGCCGCTCTTGTTCAGCGAAATGGATATTTAGTACATTGGTGATTATTCTCTTCTGATAATTCCGTCTTGTGCTTTAGAATGCTTGCTTGATATTTGGTACATTGGTTACATTCAATGGTATTGTATGACACCCTTGTTATTTCTTACTCCTCAGAATGAAGATTGTACACAGTCCTTGATTTGAGCATACATATGTACAGATGTGCCAGCATTAACGTACAGTTAGAATCCTTGATAATGCATCCAGCATAATCCAAAAGACGTGAGTCGTGGATTTTACATATAGGTTGCAGTCAATCGTCCGACGATGTACTTCTCCGTGTTCACGGGTGGGTACTTGGCCTCCTCACCGCAGTTAGGGAGACAAGAAATCTCAGTGGTAAAGTTGGGGTTGGAGAAGTACGCGATAGACTGGCGAGCGGGAGTAATAACTTCCGTCTCGTTGATCTGCTTTGCAGGCGGTGCAACGACGCGGTGGAGAGTCGATCGAAGGGTGTCGTTGCTCCATCGAGAAAGCAGATCGCCCACGTTGATGACTATTGTTCCTGGCTAGAAGGAACGATCAATACTTTGAAGAGATGCAAAGCTGAAATGTCAGTATCAGACGTACGATAGGCTGTAAGGGTATTCATTGAGTCAGGGCTGTTAGAAGTAGCGGGTATGAAATGGACCTACAGTAGCAGGGTAGTAGATACCGGTGTGAGGATCTTGAACTTCAAGTCCACCAACTTGGTCTTGGAAAAGTAAAGTAAGTGTTCCATAATCTTTACACAGCGCTCGTCAGAGACTCGAGTTCGTGAAAACGATAGCATCTTCCTACCGCTGTGGGCACCAGCGCGCGCTTGACCCTCGCCTCCCAATAATTTCCGCTGGACAGGCGGATATGACAGGAGACGAAGGTTATGGTTTTGGTCATTAACTTTATTGTCAAAGAACCGTTCATCCAAATTAAGACCGAGAGCTATGGTGCGCATAATGTCAATGTGAAGATAATGGCAAGTCTGACAGACATTAGCTTTACGCTTGAGGCAAGAGAGCTTCAAATACGATACCTGGAAGAAATCCAGCATGGTCTTCTTGAAACCAGGGGCATCGGTCTCCTCCGGCCACTGGTTCTTCCACGCTGCATCCCAATCGCGTCCAATTTCCATCGTTTCCTTGAAGTCTGGCGCCTTTTCCCGAAGAGCGGCAATTTCATCGGCATCCGCAGACTGGGTAACACGTTCGCGTCCTATCGTAACATAACCACGATTGGATCGTGGGTCTTCCCATCTGAGCTTGTCCTAATATACGTCAACTACGGGATATACTGGTGGACGGATCCTGCTGACCTTGACATCCGAAGGTAAAGCGAAGAATTCAGCGCTCTATCGGAGTCGTTGTTAATACGTGCACCTTGCAGACGGCGTAAGGATACCTTCTGGAAAACATTCCTTACGATGGCTGAGAAGCTACAATCACCAACTGGAGCAACAGATAAAATGGCGGTACGCACCAGGGGGTATCCCATGCTTGTCGATGTAGATGAACCCACTTTCCTTGAAACCCGCCACAACCTCGTCCGCCGTCGCTTTCCTCTCGGCCGTCGTCCTCGCAGTCCGGTACTTTGAGAAATCAATGACCGGGATACGGAATTCCTTCGCTACGGTAGCATAACCGCGCTGTTGAGTAACGTAATTGCGAAAGAAAGCAGAGAGGCGAATCGAGTGCATGGTGGGCAGACGGGAAGAAGGTGACAGACTGCAATAGACATTGCTTCTGCCATTCTTATCTCGATCGTAACGAATACCAAATCTGGAGCACAGCCATCAATTTCAGAAGATGAATGCCAGTAATAGCATGTCTGCTATTCGTTCACAGACTTGCTTGTTCTCTAAGAAATTCCCTCCTTTTCAATAAGAAAATTCCAAGGGTCAGCGACCTTCAGCGACACATTCAAAATTATCAGTTACGGTTCTATCCGCGGAATGATCCAACCTCGATCAGTAAAAGCCCCTGACAGTGGCCACGATAAACATCCATCACATCCATTCGCCGCGGCGCAATGATTTATTGGAACTACACATCTGAGAACCCGTTTCTCACCCTTGCAAGTGCCTTCAACATTGTCAACAGTCAAAGAATCCGTCCACTACTATTGCTTGCATAAAGAGATGACATCTAACAATCGTTATTAAGATCTTAGCCGCCGTCGGTCATGAAAGATGCGGCCCATGTGCACCATGACTATCCTCTCAGGCGCGTACATATCCTATCACGCTGGGGGATCGAAGACGTCGGAATAAAGCTGTCATGGTCTTGCCTCCTTCCGATCCCCATCTAAGCAACAATCAAAAAGTTACGCCAGTGAGCGAACTATGGGACTTACTCTCCAGCTGCAACCTCCTGACAGCATTGCTCAAACTCTTCGGAAACGGAAACTTCGTCCCATTTGTCAACAACGTAATCCTGCAACAAGCATCTGTTATTAGTAAGGAAATGCGTCGGAAAAATCTTCTTACCTCAACTAGGGACCGTAATTCATCCCAAGATGAGGTCGCTAATAGCAAAGCAAAACTCGACTGCGGCGTCAGAGTAGCCATCATATGCTCCAAAGCAAGATTCGCCAACGTCGGCATACTATACCGATGGGCCACCTGATACATGGACAAAGCCGACGCTGGCGGAGGTGGAGGAGTCGGATGCACATGAGGATCTGGCGTCGTACTCGTCTGTCGCGGCCTTTGTGACTGTGGAGAAATTGGATAATGACCACTCGAAGAGTAGTTAGGGGGAACAGTGAGAGGAACCGGTGTCTGTTTAGACCGACTAGATGAAGTCCCTGACATATTTACCGGAATGGCTGAGGCCCGTCGTGGTGCGGTCGTGGTAGTCATGTTTGCCGCCGTGGATGACATGCGTGAAGTGGCGCTTGTTGAAGTTTTTGATGTTGACGCTGAGGGAGCTGAACGCGGACTTGGCGTTGTTCTCATTTGTCCAGGCTGAAGGCCCGTTGGTCCGCTAGTGGGAGATCGGCTTTGCTCGGTGGCGCTGTCACCACTGGTGGCACTCCTAGCATCAACGGAAACATCATCTCCATGACCAGACTTGGGGAAAGTCTTCCAGTCCCATTCTCCGCCATGTGCATGCAGCCATTTCGCACTCAATCCCGCCCCTATGCCTTCTACAGCTGCCCGTGGATCGTCGCGCTCTTTGAAAAGAAGCCAGTTTGCACTATAAGCCATGTGAAGAATTTCAAATTAGAAGGGAGGAGGTCAGGAACTAAGTAAATTCTCACTAGCAGAACTTAAGTAGCCAATAAACAGTTTCAAAATCAGCCTCCTCGACCACGATAGTAAGAAGTTTTCGTCCACCTGATATTACTCCTTGATTCTCTGCGAATGAAGAAGCCAGCATGGTGGCGAAATAGTCGGAGCGGCGCGTTAGGATGTCTGAATGGGCGTAGATGATGCGTTTACGCGCTGTCGTTTGGGCCGAAAACAGGGAATGAGAGGATGTTGAGGAGGGTGATCGGTGGGTTACAGGTGAAGTCACTTCTGGCGTATTCAAGGTTGGGGATGTGTTGATGTCATTGCATAGTTTCTCAAGACACACGAAACGAACGTCTCCAGTGTCTGCAGAGACTGTTACTCAGGAATTGCCAATGCGTAGAGAACACTCACTGGGATTATCTAATGAGGCTTCCAAGCCATCAAGTAGGTCTCGCGGCACATAATACGCGGATGGATGCGACGGAAATAAGGGTCCTATTGGACAATGAATCTGCACACAGATCACGAACGAATCCGTCTCTCGAATTCGTGAATTTTCCAACAAAAAAGAGAGTGAAGGCAAGCTGCAGGCTGAAAACACGCCGCTCAGCTTCAAATAATGTAAAATAAAACGGCTAGCTTACCCCAAACCTCGCTTTCTTGCCGGAACACCCAGTCATTCTGCCAAAACTCCCATACCCACTCCGGGCGTGCGCCACGCTCGCCCACTCGGTCGTCCTGGCACTTGATCGCAGTCATCATCGAAGTGGGCAGCTCATAGTCTGGATGAGCAAAGTCTAGTGCAAGAGAAGTGATATAGAGCGACAAAGTCTTGCTGTCCACATCAGAAGGAGCATGAGAACGCGCTATCTCTAATTTGAACTAGGAATCCATAATCAGACTAGGACAGCACTCAATGCAATGAAATTGAACAAAGAGTACCTTGTTGTCGCCCATTACAGGCGACTCTTTCAAAACCTCGAAATCGCCGTGTTCCGCGACGGCGTGATCCTCAGCATTGAGGTTCTCAGATGATTCTGTGTTCTCTGGACCTTCGATGTAATCTCGCAGCTTCCGAATATCTCTAATAATCCATTCGAGTCCCTATACAAGACCAAATTCGAGCAGTTCACGAAAGCAGCAGCAAACTCTGGCATACCATAAAGGTCCATTGGCGCGTGCTCTCCTCTGGAGCAGCTGGTACATAGCCCATCGTTGATCCGGTGTTGTGTCTAGCAGCAGGGTTCCACGTCGATGAGCTACTTCCTGTGGGCGTGACCACGGTCTTGGGATCCCACGATGTCTGAGGAGATGAGCTTGAAGAAAGAGACGTCAAAGACGACGTTCGTGGGTATCTGAGATGTGCGGCAGACGACCAAGGCCAATCTGGACGAGATAAAGAAGAGAGGCGCCCAGGCGATGAGGACGAAGGAGATGATATACGTTGGTATTCAGATCTGTCAGACGCCGCCATCGTGGTTCAATTTCAAGAAACGACACCGTTCTTTGCGTCAAAGGCAATATTTATAGACGTCTTCAATCTATGCAAATTGTATGATGCATTCTACGTTGTAATAGGGTATACATCCAAATTCCACTAATATGTCTCCCAGAATATGTCAGGCAACACGTCTCTCATCACTGTCGGGCGTAACATCAGCGACCGCTGGAGGTTTAGAAAGTAATGTACCCACAGGTCCAGTGATAATGCCCTTGTGCATCTTGAAGGCGTCCTAGTGGATTGTTTTCGTCGGTTAAAATATACTTTTCTTCTTCCTCTGCAGTAATCCCTTCTTTGACGGCATTTAAATTTATCTCGCGCGCGTTAAGAGTAGAAAGGATGTAGCGGCGGAGAGGAGAGCCTAGGAAATCTTCACTCGTAGGATTTCTAAAGGTCAGAGGACTTCTGGACATAGTACAGAAGAATACCTATGAAAAAGATCAGCAGCGAAGGCTACCTATTTTGACAGTATAGTTACAATGTTAATATATTCTGTCTCATATTGATCTTCAGAAAGATCGGCTATACCGACGTCGTGGAATGCCCGACACTGGCCAAAAGCCTTGGACAAAGTATACAAAATCATCCGCATAGCTTCAGATTTGACGTGTCCAACGAAGTTCTAACAGAGGGCTTCAACAAAGTAGACATTCGAACTTGATGGAATGACACTCACAACCACTAAAACGCCTTCAGGATGGATAGTGCTTTTGAGGTCGCTCCAGAACTCCATTGTGTAGATATGTTCAGGCACGGCACCTCCGGAGAAGCAGTCATGGACCACGATGTCATATAGAGTTCCTTGGACGCCGGCGTCAGCACTGGCACGCTTGTGAGCGGCCCAGCTTCTCGCATCTTCCAAGTACACGTTCTTGGGTCCTGGATCGGGCAGACCAAACCATTGCCTGGCAGCATCATACACAGCTGGATCAATCTCGACAATGGTCAAAGACATGTTGTGTCTGTGAAAGGATGTCGCAGAGATACCAGCTCCAAGACCACTAGAAACATATTAGCACTAGTAACGATATCCACACGGTTAAACATACATTACCAATGCATTCTCCCATTCATTTTTGGCCGTGCTATTTACCAATCGAGCAGCTTCTTGGAGGGTGAAAACACCATAGATAGAGTCACCCAAACGATGGTTGTGAGAATCATGTAGTGGTGCGACACCCTCCATAGTCATCACCTTGGGCCCCATCCACACACCTCCAAGAAATGAGTGAGCGGCGCGAAGATAGCGAACATGAGACATCTGGTTGTCAGGATGATCTGGGTCACTAGATAGAGTGAGTGCTTGTCCGACCACGATCAATCCTGTCGTTGATTGGACAGAAGAATGAATCTGTAGGGGATAACTAGGATGTGTATATGGTTGTGGTAGAGGATGAGGAAGCACCGGAGAATATAGTTTTGGATAAATTGTGTAAGAAAGAGCGGCAGCCAGTGAGAGAATGATAAACTTGGTCTGTAAAGGAGTGAATGAGGTTGCAGACTTCCGTTGCTGGATTTTGGACGATGATTTGGGAGTAGGAGCAGGTGAGATATCCATCTGAGTGATTGAGAGGCATAAGAATACGACGGAGAGCACCAGAAACTGGAATGGACGTGAGCAGACCCATGATTGACGAGGGAATCAACGCACAATAAAACTTTCGGAGAGTGCGTTCAAAGCCGTACACTGTGACCAAAATTTCTTCGTGATTCTGAGGGCAATCAAAGGTATAACCACTGTTTGCACTGAGTGGGAGAGCATCCTCAATATGCGCGACGCCTGCCAATTTGGTCAAATTGATTTCGCTAGACCCAACGCTGCGCTCACCTTCCTGCGGCTCCCAACCATGAAACTCGAAAGGGAAACGACCATTGGAACCAAAACCACAACATGAGTAGCTGCCGGACCCCACAGTGGATCTCGATTCCTTGCCGACCAAATGGCTACCCAGTACGTGGCATTTGGTGCCGCTGCGAACAACAACGCAGAGATGAAAGCCCTTTGACTGAGAGAAAAGGCGAAAGGTTGGACGGCTGAGATGACAAGCGCTGGTACTAGTATCTTGTCCAGTAAATGGTTTGTTGGCACGGAGCCGTAGATGGGCACCAAGGCACGCTCATAGATGAAGACGACGAGCGAAAGAGGAAATACGGAGACGGCGACGTTGACTAGATGCTGAAGATGAGGCATCTTTATGGGAGAAACATGGAAAAAGGGTCACGGTGTTGGCTGGCACTTTGCTGCGCTTGTTGCAGCCTAGGATGTCTGTGTTGCCAAGTTTGGGTAGGATCAGGGAAGTTTTCCATCTTTCCAGCGAGAATGATGCTGGTGGGTGACGACGAGGAGAGGAGGGCCAAATACCCGGGCGAGATTATGTGCGTTATTGTTTTCTCTGCACCATTGTCACTTTCCCCCCCCCCCTCGTTTGTTCCGGCTTCGTTCTTAGTGTATTGCCAAGTTCCGTTGGCCTATCATGAGCTGTGCACCGCAGTGTACCTCATCGTGATAGATAATATGATCCGATACATGCTGGGTACTGCCGTCTCCAGCGTCGCTTGGCCTTATGGAAAACGAGCGGAATACCCCAGAAAGGTCTAGAGCAACGTCACCGGACCTTGTCGATGTTCCTTTTTTTTCATCAGGAGTAATGTTGGCGCTCCGTTTTGGAGTCATCCTTGGATTTGTTTAAATACGCGCCTTGGCTGTCATCTCATTTCTTCATTTTACCACCATGGCAGATCGCTCGCAATCTCGAGGACGTGAATTCGTAAGTGAATCTCCGTCATTTCGAGTCGTATATACTGACCCCCTTGTTGCAGCATTCATCAGGCAGAGGGGGGCTCGGAAATATTCGCCCCTCATCCACGTCGAGGGACAGGCCTATTGGCGGCCCCGATGATTTTTCCTCGACGAGAGGCAGAGAGCCTACCATTGAACCCACCAGGGTACTTGATTTTGACTGACAAATCTTATCGTACCACTGATGTCGTCGATAGATCTATTCAACTGGACGTGGAGGTGCTGGTAACATTCGCTCCCCGTCTCGCGACCACAGGGAGCATGTAGGACCTAACTCTCACGAGAAAGAGATTGTCAGAGACCATGCCAGGGCTGAAAGAGACGCACCGGTACGTCACGCCTCAGCACAGCTGACACAGGCCCTGATATCTTATCTTCCAGCAATCCTTCGGTCGGGGAGGCTTAGGAAACATTTCTCGCTCGCGTTCTCGTGGCCCAGCTCCTGTGGCCCCACCGAACACGCATTCTCCTGGTCGAGGCAGCATGGAAGGCGCCGGCCCCATTTACGAAGAGAAAGAACAGCCACCTCTCGGCCCCCCACGGTAAGTTCTCATCAATCGTCTCTTTTGCGTATCTCGTTTCATTTTTTTTTTTTTTTTTACCCCGCAGACACTCCGCTGAACATCCTGCTAATCAGCCTGGGGGCCATGAACCTTTTGGCTCTAGGAACCGCTCTGCTTCTCGCGATCCGGAGCATCCCGGCTCCTCTAAAGACAGGCACGGTATTTCCGGCCTGTTGCACAAGGTCACCCATCCGACCCATCCTAATGAACCTCACAATTGAGCAAGTAGAACACTATTGAATCAAGCGATTAAAGATAAATAACTGTAATCATATGTATGTCTACTTGTATAATGCCGTCAAGTGTACAAGATCTCTTAAAGGAATTTATACACTATTGAACGCCTGAACGTGCAGAGTTGCCTCGGAGAGGCGAGAATCCTAAACGGAGATTTTAGGTTCTCCAATCATGGCCTACTCATGAAAATTTCATTTACAGGTTCTGCCAGCTAATCTACTTATCTTCGAATCAAGGACTGATCACCTCTATCGCAAAGATCGATCCACTGAATCAACCGCATTCGCATTTCAGCCTCTCGGATCGGTATGGAGAGCTCATACCGTGAGGTCCACTCTGACAGCGAATTCTAGACCTTAAGCATGCGACCACGCGGAGCAAGGCGTGTCCTTGAAGAAGGCGGAGAAATCTTAACGATGTATGACATGAATTCATTCCAACCCTAACAACAGATGCGCTAATAAAATGATTGGTGGATATTTCGACCCTTCAACGGTCTTCCGCCAGACTTGCATAGCTGGCTCGTATAGCAAAACTCGCGCTGCGCGGGAATTGCAGCTCCTATGCACATGTTAAGGGACAACGCCTTGCAACAGAAGACCATAAATACCAGGATGCATCCAATGTCGACAATCAGGACGAGACCTCAGACGCAGAACTAACAGTCAACCGAGGCGAGCCAACCACGCCTAGTCCTCACTGACACTGATGATGGTCGGCAGATATCATCATGCCACCTAGCAAGACTCCCATGACGCCTTCTAGCGCTTCGCGTATCCAGTCCACCCAGGTATTTATACCCGCTTCTCGCGCCCACACCTGGAAGCCTGACGGGCGTCGCTATAGGCAAAGGCTGGCAATGCTGGCAAGAACACCTTCGCCTCGCGCGCGCAAAGTGCTGGTCAGACCAACGCCAATAAAGGCGTTGCCGGGGGCGGTGCAGAGAAGAACAATAGTGGTGGCGGTGGTTCCAAGTCACCGAGGGGCAAGTGAGGAAGAGATAGACCGGACTTTAAGGGGAGTGCTCGACGTCTTCCAGCCGCCAACTTTTGCCGCGTAGAGTTACATAGTGATGTAGGTACTGCAATCGATTCGTCTTTCATAGATGATCGACTTTAGTGAGTTGACTGCCTCCTAAAAGCGATCAGCCCATTTGCCAGGAAAGGGCCAGGAAAAAAAAAAAAAAAAGACACAGTGAAGTTAAGGGGGCATCGTCCTAAGGAGCCGAGACTCGATTATTTTCGAAGGCATTGGTTCAGACCCACACATGGTTGCGAATCCCCTGTCAAACATCCACTGTATTCTAGCTGTTATCGCAAAGACTCAGCACAAAGTACATTCGTACGTACGTCACCTACTGAAGGATTCTGCTACGCGTCCTCTCACCTGTGATGGGCAGATTCCACCCTATTGAAGTGCTTGTTAGGTCTAGAAGAGTTGAAGTTTCGCAAATTTAAACTCGTATCAGTTTATTATTTGTTCATTCGGAGGACCGATGGGCTCTCCACGACAACTGTCGATCAGAATTCCAAGCCCAAGGTTTCCCAGGATGGCGGCCAGAGTTATTCTTGAAATCGGCAAGAGTCACTGGGGAAAGGATTGTTCACAGTTTCACAGCAGCATAAAGTCAAGTAAGAAAGACGCACATCTGATGCTATCCCATTGTTCGAATAGGCTGTATTGAACATTATTGAGCATTTTCGAGGCATAATCACATCGACATCCAAACTTTACCCTCAAGGAACCTGACGTCCAAATGATGTTCTGATACATCTTTTTCCTTCAGAAAAATGCCTCAACAGAGAGACAGCATGACATGTGGAGAGATCGCGCCTGGGAAGAGACTTCAGCAAGTAACCACCAAGAATGTCCGTGCAGCTCAAGAAGAAAATTGAGAGTAATTTACGCAGGCGTAAACATTTGGGAGTATTCATTGTGAGACAAAGTATATGTCACAGACTTTCCTCCCGCTCGGTTACCACTATAAGTGTCAACAGTGGTTTTTGCTGTAAAATATACATATGCAACGTCTGAGGAGGGCCGTTGAATCACTCTTCGACAGCTGCGAAGCTAGTTTGATCCGTGAGCTGGTTGATTCAACTTTCCGTAGTGCAACGATGACATGAGGGTACAAACGATAAATGCAATTACGTACGTGCTTGGGAGAAATAGAAGGGGTCCTTGTGAGATTGAAGGACAATAATGATCGATGAAGGAAGTGATGGACAAGCGAACTTGAAAGAAAATAACACGATAAGTCGTAACTGAGCAATGAGTGACAAGAAAGAATCTCATGTAAACCGGAGGTATAGAAGAGGCGGGAATAGGGTATCCATACATGATACATTAAACATCTCCACATCCCAGACGATGATCCGATAGCCCATGCAGAGTGCTAACAATTCTGTGTGTCATGAATGCGTGTCCCGCTTTGAACGAGATGCAGATCGTCCGCTCTTCCGCGTTGGTCGTGGCGTAGTTGGACTGCCCGATTTATGATCAGAAGTGCGACTGTGGGTTGTTGATCGAGAAGACAGACGAGGTCGGGTTCGAGATGGCTCCGAATGAGAAGAAGGGCGTTTACGCAAACTGTACCGCGGGGAGGCCTGGGTAGAAGAACTGGGAACATTAACAGGAGGTGTCGCTGGTGGGGAAGAAGGAATCGGCGGCGAAGATGCTTTACTCGGGAAGGGTGACACGAGGCGAGGGGCGGTGGCAAATGTTGGTGTTGGCGAGTCAGGTACAGTGACAGCGACAGGTTCAATCTCCATGTCATCTGGCTGTGAGTCAGTAAGATGCGCAAGTCCCAGTTGCGTCATAGAAATAAGATCAGGGACAGTTGCCTGTGATACTGTGTCCAGCTGAGAAGCGGGGATTGAGCTGGTATCCTTGACTCTCCAATTTAATGACCCGTTGGGCGTGACTAGAGGGGTGTCGATGTACGGCTCCGATTCCTGTGAGTCGTTAACGGAGGCCCGTGAAGGTGGCAAGAGTAACGGTGGCAGCCTCGTAATGTCCGAGTAAGCAGCTATTCGTTGGCTGACTGGCTCTTCAATGACCGGCTCCGTGTCCACCCTCTGCAATCTTGGCCTCTTGTCAACCGAGAAAACATCCTCATCATCAACATCCTCTTGACCAAATCGACGCAAACGCTTGGGAGATTTCAGCAGGCCCTGCTGCAGTGGCTTGCGGCGGAAGGGGGGGATTGGGGGCAGCTTGCTTTCATAGGCAAAGTCTCGTACTTTGATGCCAAGCTTGGCGAGATCTTCAGGCTGTGGCTGCGGTGTTGGTTGCGCAAGGCGTGCTCTCTTCGGAGATGAAGGGCCTGGTTGCTGCGAGCTTGCGGTCTTTGCAACGTTATCTTGAGGATGCAATCCGTCGACCATGGCTCGGTCACTCACAATGGACTGTACTGCATCATGTCTTGTAAGATTCTCTGTCTCTTGAAAGATGCGCGCGCTTGGAGAGGTCAGGAACCGCTTCGGCTGCTGAGATGACTCGATTGCTTGGGCCATGCAATACATTCACAAGGAAGCTATGGGCCCTTCAACTGGGACCGCCTTGAATGGGTAGAGGAGCTGTATTGCGCCCGACGTAGAGCCAAAAGAGAGCTCTCTGACGTTGTCTGCCACGACAAACAAGGTGGTGGTAAAAGTTTGAAACGCTTTTCAAGCTCAGCGACACGTAAATGGCCTTATCACGTGATCGTATGATTATATAACCTGCACTTTGCTAAATTTGGAGCAAGACACTTGTCGTGACCTTCCGAGTCGCGCTTTCATTCATCGTTGGATCAGACTCAAAGGAACATAAAATTGCATGAAATATTGGGCAAGTTGGCAAATTCAGCCCTGATCATTGCAGGAACTGGTATGTCGCCTATTGCATTTCTTTCACACTCTTACCTAGTATGCGTTCTAGCTCCTCTTAGGCCGTATATCGGAATGTGGCGACGTGCGTGGAAGCCAGCTGCAGCTACAATTGCAATTGGGACTCCGGCGTGCTTGTATTACTACAGATCGACGCCAACTTTTTCCATTCCTATACGGGTCAAGGACGTAGACGGAAAGCCGACCATGTCGACCAAAGTCCTACCTCTTCTCTCTATGGAAGAAGTCAACAAACGTTTAAACGCCCGTGCGAATGCTGAAACGATAATACGGCATGACGGTATCGTGTGGAACTACGCAAATGCAGCATTGCCTTCGAATGATCCTATTGAAGACGCACATTCAAAACAGATCATCCAGAGAGACGATGCTTCTGGCGACTACCTGTTTTTTACGGTTATGGATGGACACCGTGCAGGAGACACCTCCCATCTACTCTCCCTGGTTCTCATCAAAGCGGTTTCTCTTGCCCTCTCCAAACTCATCTCTAATTCCCCTTCAACGTTCCTCACTGAATCCACTGTCGGCCGTGTCAAGTCAATGGTTGGGTTCTGGTCAGCTCCAGACGCTGATCCTCATCGTGTTTCGGTCGCTATACAAGATGCATTCACTGACCTAGATCGTGAACTCATCACCGCTCCCCTCCGTGTTCTTGCTGGCAATATAGATGGGTCGAAGGTTATACCAGACCTCAGTAAACACCCTCTTGCATTGAAGACCATGCTTCCGGCCATCTCAGGTATGGGTGTCCGTTCTGTTGGACATGAGCAGAGTTCTCATTCGTTATCTAGGCAGCTGCGCTCTGATGGCCATATTCGATACAGCTCACAAGGACCTATATGTCGCTTGTACGGGAGATAGTCGTGCCGTTGCCGGTGTTTGGGAACCAACACCTGACGGAAAAGGTCATTGGCGTGTCGATGTTCTTAGCGAGGATCAGACAGGCAGAAACCCCAATGAGTTGAAGAGGTGAGCTTCTTTTTTTTTTTTTCCATGCTTGGGCATAATAGCAAGTTGATCTTCATCGTAGAATGCAGGCAGAACATCCTAAAGATGAAGCAGACACGGTGATACGAAACGGACGGGTACTCGGAGGCCTAGAGCCTACGCGAGCTTTTGGTGACGCGCGCTATAAATGGACACGCGAAGTGCACGATGCGTAAGGCATGCCATCATTGTCTTTGGTCTCGCTCTCACTCCCATCTAGTCTCAACCGTTCATTCATGGTCGGCAACGACATGACTCTACGGACTCAGCCTCAGACTTTGAAAACGCCACCTTATGTTACCGCGCGACCGGAAGTCACCCACCGCAAGTTGTCTTTCGACAAGTCGTCGCCAGGAGCCATTCGGTTTCTAGTCCTGGCTACTGACGGCTTGTGGGACGAAATAACGTCAGTCTCTATTCTATTTCGCTGTATGCTGAACTAATTCGCATTCATTGAGCAGTTCTGAAGAAGTCGTGAGCCTTGTTGGCGGCCACTTGGCAGGTGTTAGAGGTGTCATTCCTAAAGCCGAACTACCATCTCTTGTGCCAACGTTCGTCAAAACCGGTAGTGTAGAGGGTAAGGATCATCGTCGCAAGCGAAACAGAGGTTCATGGGCATTTTGTGATGACAATGTTGGTACACATCTTATTCGAAATGCACTTGGGGGCGGTGATGAGGAGTCACTGCGACAACTGGTGAGCATTCCGGCGCCATATTCTCGGAGGCATCGAGACGACATTACGGTCACGGTTGTGTGGTGGGAAGAAGGACGTGAAGAGGATGCACAAGTCACAACACCTACAAAAGCCAAGTTATAGATTTTGTATGTGCAATATTAATAAGGCTGAGTTCCCCCAAGGGAGGGCTTATTGACGACCCAAGATCGAGGAACCGCAGGGAAATAGATCCCTTTAAATGGCACTCTAAATTTGACATCGTAACGACGGGAGAGCATACGAGAATTGTGGACGGCAGGAGCTAAATGTTCTATACCAGTATATACGGTGGCTACGGGCGGCCAGAACGGAGGTGCGTGGCTGTGTCCGGAGGGCATCAACGCACTTACAGACCACGTGGAATTATTTGCGCTTGCTGGTGCGTTTTCAACTAATCTTCCCCTGATCCCCCCAAATCACGCTGCCTTCGTTTTTTTCCCCTGCATGCTTCTTTCGCTTTACTCTGCCTAGACACTATCTTTCTAGATTCACAACGACTACCATGCTGGCATCTCCTTTGTATCCGGCACCTTCCCCTACTTTTTCTCCTTCCCATTCGAATGCAGACGACCAGCTCTCATGTAGACCTTCAAGGGACTTAGAGGCTTTCAATAGTCTTCTTCCCCCACCAGTAGAATTTATCGAAGGATCTTCTTCGGGGACCCTGGCTGTAGTGGAGGGCAAATATGACCCTATAAATGCCACGCCTACTCGAAAGGCATCCCCAATGAAAGAGGTGCGTGGATTGCCTGTTTTCTGTCACTATCATTTGATACCAAGTCCAGCAAACCTTGCTTTCTCAACCATCTCCTGTCCTCTCCCCGAAAGTCACTAAACGATCAGTCAGTAAAATTGACGCCGACGCACAGTCCCTGTACAGGGGCGAAGTCGACACAACTTGGCCCTCCAAATTCAATATCGGGTCTGGCTTATTCAACAGCGGCAATACATGCTTTCTGAACAGCGTTCTGCAATGTCTTATCCACACCCCGCCACTCCTTGGTGTTCTTTACGGTCACAATGAAGTCTGTGAGTACCAACCATTCTTTTACAGTGACGAAAGGTAGATATCCGTGCTGCGCCCAGTGAGGAGTCCAATGACGTGTCCATCTTGAGTATATCTTGATGCGCTACTGTCTTTGGTCCATCAGTAGCGCGCGTATCTGGTTTTCGCCGCAGAAGATCAGCGGAGCAGTGATTAATATCTCGTAAAGGTCGTGTCAAGAATGTCTTTTGCATGGCTTGCAACCTGCGGTCGGTTTGTTTTCAGGCGTATTCCAACAAGTCTGCCTTTTCGCCAGGGCTAATAAGCACCAAGCTACATTGTAGGTCCTGTCTTCTCCCGCTCTTCGCCATCTAATGAATGTCAGTTATCGCCAAGCACTTGAAGCGAGGTCGACAAGAAGATTCCCATGAATTTCTTCGATATGCCATAGATGCCTTGCAAAAGTCATGTCTATTCGGCTATTCACCGTAAGTGCACTTTTAGGCTACGCCACAACAATTTTGCCATGTTTGGATCTTTACAGAAAACTCGATCCCAAGGTTGCAGAGACGAGTTGGGTGCATAAAATATTCGGCGGTAAACTGCGATCCCGAGTGACGTGCCAGTCATGCGGTCACAATAGCGACACGTACGACAGCAATCTCGATGTAAGCCTCGATATACACAGAATGAGCTCGGTCAAAGACGCTCTACATGAATTCGTTGCCCCGGACTATCTCAAGGGCGGTGACAAGTACAAGTGCGAAAGGTGCGTCAAAATTTCTCTTCCTGTGCTCCAATCATTAAACCAATTGACAGGTGCAAGAGATATGTGAACGCAGAAAAACGCTTTTCAATACACAAAGCGCCTCTCGTTTGCACTATCCACCTCAAGCGCTTTTCACCCTTGGGGAACAAAATCGGTCACCAGGTAAATTACGACGAGCGCCTCTCGCTTGCCCCTTATATGAGCGAAGGGGAATTCGGACCTCTCTACAGCCTATATGGTGTCATTTGTCATGCTGGTGGTGGGCCAAACTCCGGACACTACTATGCCTTCGTGAAAAGCAGGTCGGGCGACTGGTACGAGATGAACGATGAGTCAGTGACCCGTGTTCATCAGACACCTGTGCGGAAGAATGCGTACATTCTTTTCTATATACGGACCAAAGGTGACAGGCTGCAGGCGGCTCTTAGTCATAATGATAAAGCACAGCCGATGGCCAATGGCGTACATCCTTTAAAGGGAATCACTATGGGTATGAAGAGGCGACGGGTTAAAGAGGACGATGACGAGGATACGGGCGTCAAGATGTCTAAACCATTTATCGGGCCGCTCTTACCGATAGAATCCGACGCAGCTAACGGTCCTTCGGATGCCAAACGCCAGAAGTTGAGCCCTACCAACGATCCACAAGCGGATGCTATGAAGAAGAAGATTGAGTCGGCGCAGAAAACGTTGTCGAGTTTGGCGCAGTACTCGTCTAGCGACGATAGCGAGGAAGAGCAGAAGCAGAAGGAGAAGGAGAAGGAGAAGGAGAAGGAGAAGAGAGATGGCAAAGAGAAAGATAAACCTGGATCTCAAGAAACCTCAGGGTCTGCTCCTCCACCCGAAGCATCTCCTCTACCAATGACTCCGTCAGCCCAGTCTCGAACAACATTTTCATCACCCATACCTCCCAACCGATTTTACAGCACTTCAAATAACAAACACAAAAGGCATGGTTCAAATTCGGCGAACTCGAGGGACCGTTGGCAGCAGTCCAAGCAGTACGCTTTTAACCCGTACAACAGATTTTTGTCGGGGAAGAAGAATAAAGGAAAACCTCGACCATTATGACGGACCGTAGTTTTGTTTAATAACATTATTTTAACATATCAGGTTGCACAATGCGATCTGCCTCTGCTACAGGACATCTAAGATCAACGTCGATGCCTTCTGGCCATAACTAGGTGTTCCTTTATTTTTTTTTTACCACCCAGCGTAATGCGCTCAAAAACCGCTTCACATCCGAATTTGGGAGTTGATCGTCGGCTCCGGCTTTGACAAGTAGAATCTCATTTACGGCTTATTAATTTAGTAAAGATTGTTACCGTGAAAGAATAATTAGAAATATGACAGACTCATCGCAAGATAGATTAACAATTCGAGGATCCCTGGTGTACGACTCTGATCTGGATATCGAGGAGCAGTGCACCCGAGAAAGGACTATCGGTCCAAAAAAATGGAAGGCAAGCAAATACCATACTCTGTAACATAAGCTTCTCCTCTAATATTACCACGTCATGCACGTTCCAAAGTATCGATCTAATATTGCAGGATTGAGTATACAACAGACCGAACAGGATGTCGGGAAAGCAGACAGATTCTTCCAGAAAGGTCTGTTTAGTGCCTGCCTTATTTAACCTCAAGATCACGTCTGTTGCAATACATGGTCCCCAGGTTCGCTCTTGGCATCTAATCTAAGACACAAAAATCCCGCGCAATAAAATGTGGAGGCAGATCCTTCGACACTGATGAACTAGGTACCAAACTTATCACGTTTATGGGTGGTCGCAGGTTTGTCTGTGATTCTGGTTCGGAAAAGGAGGACTCTGACGTCACAAGAGCCTTGGACTGGCAGAGGATTGGGCGCCGAGTCTGGCGAAGAGCCGCAGAGTACCTGCTCCAAGGTTTCATGTAAGTTCGACTTTGTGCCTATGAACTCTCAAGTTGCTGAATGACTATCCGAATGTTTCAAAGGCTCAGGCCGCTCTCTATAGAGGTGAAAAAGCGTTTAGTCAGACGAGCAAGGTTGGAGAAGAATAAGGACCTGCGTCGGCCACAAGAAGACATTATAGGCTCTGACAATGAAACTGCCAAGGACGTGATTCTGGTGAGCAATATCCCGCTTCTTGGGCCTTAACATTTCCCCTAGCCGATGATGTTGCCTATCAGCATTATTAGAGAGAATTGGCCGGATAAATCTATTCCACCTTGTCATAAATCCCGAAGATTTTGCTCTGTCTGTCGAAAATATCTTCCACCTCTCATTCCTGATTCGTGAAGGGAAAGCTGGTTTAGAGTTTGAAAACGGCGAACCAATGATGTGTAAAATCGCCTCATTCTTACTCTTGCCTGGATTATAAGGCGCTCAGATCCTTGTTCTGAGGAACATGCTCCAGGAAGCGATGAAGACGCTCCAAGACGGTCAAGCCAACTAATCATGGAATTTGACCACGCAACGTGGAAAGTGAGATGGTCAATGTTGGGTGTAGGAAGTACCGCAGACTTATCTAATACATCTCATACCAGCGTGGGATGGAACGTTAAATGACTCGGGTTTTCATATAATAGCGGTCCAAGTTTCATGAAATGATATACTGATATATCATGCTATTACTGCTACTTTACACTCCCCTTTTCACCTTAGATGGTCTATTCTACCTTTAGCGCTTTGCTCGTGCTTAGAAGGAGACAGCTCTCCTCGTACTGACGGTAAGCAAAATCAAGCAATACCCTACCTCATCACATGAGCAGGCAAATATTGCATAATTAAGAATATAAAATGGTCCGACGAAGGGTATCCATTATTGACAGGAGAACAAGGTACGAATTAATGTGACGAAAACGTGAAAATATTCGTTAACAACGTTGAAAACCATAAGCATCATGGTAGTATACCAGAAATGAGAAAATGGCGTTATGAACTAGATTATAGCTACAAAATATAATGTTCATGAAGGAAAGGTCTGTTCCTGCAAAAAAGCTCGTTCAAAATTCATGAGTAAAAGTTCATCCAATCTTGTGGCTGAGGAGGCGGCTTAGGTGCCACATCCCAGGTGCCAACGTTGAAGATAAGAGGGGCGTCCTGCGCATTGAAAACTTGATACAAGCCATAGTCCGCCTCACCAGTAGGAACAGCGGCGGGATAGGACATTTTACAACGATGATCGAGTCCTACGCTAGGCATCGGAGGAGTCCGATACCCGTCTATAGACGGGCCGGGAGAGGGACACGGAGAAAATGAAAGGGAAGGCGTCTGAGACGAAGATCGTGAAGGAGTCAAGCCGTATACCATCTGGGGGTTAAGGGAAAGAGAATGGTGACTTGAAATGTCGTAAGTGGGAACGGTGAGATAGTTCGAATAGGTTTGCAGAGGACTGTAGGAAGGCATCATGGGCTGGGCCGTGTCTGACAATCAGACAGTGAGCGTCTGTAAGACCGTGAGAAAGACGAAAGATCTTACATTCCGACAAGGACACTTCGGGAAGACGTATAAGAGGTGCGGTTTCGTCGGACGTCACAGATGAAGAAGGCGAGGAAGGCGAGATTGAGTTTGCACGAAGACCACGCCTTCCCCGTCCACGATGGGCCAAGTGGATGCTGTCCTCTAACAGATCGGCGTGAGCCTCCGCCTCCTCTCGTGACAGCTGATGCTTCTTCCGCAAGTGCTGGATGAACATACCGCGGCGCTTGATGCTGGAGAGATCGAAGAAATATAAGCGTGAGTACCCGTAAGTGTCATACCCATAAAAAACTTACCTAGTACGACATCTAGATCCTGGGCAACGGTAAGGATTCATGGTCTCGTGAATCTCTTTGATGTGACGGGAACAAGAAGATGGATCTCCAAAGGCTTTCCCACAACCGTACGTGCATGAGTGCGGCTTGTCTCCCGTACTATGGTACAATAATAAGATACTAGTTTTTTCTTGACCCGGAAAAAATGCTTACTGAACATTTTGATGCGTCTTGAGACCAGACGCCTGGGAAAATCCTCTACCGCAGGTAGAGCAAACATGAGGCCTGAAAGAGAGATCCCTCAGTCAGAAAAACAAGAGCCAGTCTCGACGACTGACCTGTCTTGTGTATGGATTAAAGTATGTCGAGTAAGATCTCCTCTGCGTGAGAAGGATTTACTGCAGCCTTCATAATGGCATTTGTAGATTCGAACCTGCACGAAGAGGGTAAGACGAACACCTATACGTTTAAGGGACTCACCCCGCGCATGATAACGGTAAAAAGACGGTTTATAATTATAAGGTCCTGTGTGGTATCTGGAGGTATCTGCCGCTGACCAGCAACGCTGAAAGTATTAGGGAACGTAAGGGTATGTGGATAAGGGAAGAAAGAAAGGAATAGGCGATTTACTTTTCTGACGTCTTTAAAACATTGCAAATCCTCATATCATAGCCGGAAGAGAAAGATCATTTGGCAGATCGCGCTTATTGTTCAAGGGCCGAACAAAGTATTCCATGCTCAAAAGTGGAAGAGGAACCTCGGCAAGGGCGGAGAAGATATAAAAGGACGCTTCCTACAAAGGAAGACAATGGACGACGAATTTCAAAAACGCCTTTCTGTCATTTGTCTGAATATACGATGTCTCACCTCGGCTCATAAAGGAAGCCTAATACTACTTTGTGCACACGTGTATATCGAGCGCAGCGTTAGCGACCGGCGGTGCGAAAGGCGTTCCTGGACAGTCTCCGGCTATGACAATAACACAATTAAATCGATCGCTAGATACCCAGACCAGGCCCGTTGATCTTCTTGGTAATACGCTCCTCCATCCAAGGAGCTATTGCGTTGAGGTCATTCCATGTAAATGACACGTATTGCTGACGTCCTGGACCCAGCACAAGGTCTAAGTCTTGCAATGGCGACCAGTCGCCGGATCGTTCGTATGTTTTAGGTCCGACGATTTGAGCGACTACCCTGTGAAAAATAAGCCTCGTGCTAATGGACACATAGAAGTAATTTGATACGTACATCAAGCCGCCTACCCAACAAAGACCCTCCTCTTCTTCTTCACCGGAGCCCAGCCAACGCTTGTCGCTGCCCCCGGGTGTAAACCACGGGTAATCGAAATGGGAGACTGCCGGAAGAGGATGGGTCAAACGAGTGTAGCTGTCGTATGCGACCTGATATGTAAGTTCTGGGAACAGAATGAAATGCTTTAACAGTGGTAAGATACCACTCACGATTATCTGACAGTTCATCGCCCATGGGATAGACGCCATGGTCCGTGACATGATGATTCGTCCTATGTATCCTTGGGTTGATATCAGTCTCATCCGCTTCAATCCCTGGAGGATGCAAAAATATGTGGGCATTCGGATTGACCATCAGTGTACTCCGGGGTCGATTCAAAGTTCCGAAAGCCAGTATACGAACGTCCGCAAGTGTCACCACGAGCTACTCAGATTGTCATCACAGACGCCGGGGAAAAAGGAAAAGAGCGTACTCTGATCCGGGTCTCTAGATGCGCAAGGTTGCTTTGTAGCCTGTGAGAATGAATAAGACAGTCAACTACGGAAACAAGCTTATGCACTTACTTCATATCATTGAAGATAGCTACCGGGTTGAATGCCCTCGAGGAAGCCTCTAATTCGTTCGCAGATCCGTTCCGATTGAGCACAATATACCTGAAACGCTAATTTAGACGTGCAGGAGGTACCGCACCCAAATAGAGCTAACCTAGTCCAAGATTCATCCGCGGTGCAAGATGTCTGACTGCGATGCCAGACTCTGTGCAATAGCCTTGTCCAAATATTGGAACCTATTCGATATCGGCAGAAGGATGCTATGCAACAAACTTTATAAAAGTTTCTCTCCACGATGCATCGTCCCTCTTCCACTTTTTCCAGCCAGGGAGGAACCGACGATTAAAGCATTCCTCCCAATCAGCCGCCTTTAGATTGGGTAGCGTAGCGTCGTATAGAATGAATGAGGGACGGGCCAAGCTGAGGATTTCAATCCAGTTTTGCCTTGGGACGGTCTGTCGAACGCTAAGATGACTAAGACAGTCTTCGTAAGTCGCGGAACGAAGATTGCGCAGAATGGGCCGCCTCCATGGGTTCAATGACGAATCTGACGTGATGGCAAGCATTCTGCGGGATAGATAAGATGTTTTTATCAAAGATTCCAAGTCCAGCTCTCCGAGAATTTCTGCTATTAGCTCGACGGGAAGGGACTCGAATGTAACGGTCATGGTGGAAGGAAACAAGAAAGTCTCATCATAGGGTTAGGGTTATGACTCATTCTTTCTGATCACTTCAGCTGAGTCGTGCCGGTTTCCTCTTCAAGTGCCACATAAATACATAGATTGTTAACGTGATTTCGTCGGTAACTATTTGGCAATAAGGTAAAGCACGATTGGAGCACGACCCATGAATAAATGATTGTGAGATGAGCCTGGTCGGACATCCTCTGACTCCCGTACGCGATCTACGATACTTATCTTTGGGATGCCATCGCTTCTAATGACACCGAACGACGGAGGCATACCTGAGTCAACTCTTATGGCACCTTCGCATTGGGGGACTTGGATGAGTATAGGTTTTCAACGTGGTCTGAACTTGAAAGCGGCCGCAAGCTACATTGAACGAGATTGTCCTTGGTGTTGAGAACATGATGATGCATCAATAAATTTCCTACTGTATCGTGCCCTAGCATGATGCGTGGTCACTATGGCATAACACTCAAAATCTAGAGAAACGTACGGGGCAACCAACTGGCAGCGATAGTATTCGTTGAGACTCAATCGCGTCATTATTTAGCGCAAAGAATGTAAAATACCCTGCGATAACATTCAAAGCTGTGGAGAATCCTGAGAGAGATAAGCAACGGAGAAAAACGTGCAATAGCTGGCTTCAAAGTACGATCAATATCCCGCTCATTTCGATCCGCAGAGGAAGTTCGCATGAATCACCTGGCCGGAAATTTGAAAGAATTCTCTAAAATAATGTTTAGAAAGCTCTAGTCCGACCTAGTCCGACGCTGCAAGGGGCGGTGCGTGACGTGACCTTGCTGCCACGAACAGCGACGGTGAACCATCATCATAATCTCGGACCGCCACCATCCTTTGCGTCTTCATGAAGTTCAAGAGTGCGGCATTCTCTCCAGACTGTTTTGGTCGCTGCTTTGGATCTTTGGGGTCTTGGACGTACCATTTACGTCTGGAATACGTGCGTGGCCCACCTTATTCATTTCAATCCCATTAACATCTGAACTACAGATATAACGCCTTCGTTGGATTTACGAGTCAGTTTTCATGTAGCTAAAATTTCAATGAATCCATCGTCAAAGACATTGCCGATCTTTTTGTCTCCCTTGGCCTCCGCGGTGCAGGGTATGAATACATCACGCTTGATGGCGGATGGTATGTTCTCTAATGTCTCAAGTGGAAAGCGACAACCAAATGTTACGAGTCGTTCCACGGCCCGATACTTTTACCTGACGTTTTCCCTCTTTCCCCCGTCTCCCCGGTTTAGCCCGTATTTGTTATTCCCACCATATATATATATATATGCCAGTACACGTATTGTAGGAAGGGGTTTTCGCAATCGACCAAGCCTATAAGCCTGTCAGCGACTGTGCGAACCTTTCGTGAGAGAAGTGACTTTCGCCACCCTCTCATATTTTTGACAGTTCCATTGGCTTAATCTTTGCTTTTATCTTTTTCTCTCTCTCATCTGCGCTTTTCTCTCTAAACTCTCTATATCTCTCTTCGTCGATATCTGGATCCCCTACGGCTTGATCACCCGAGGACATTCCGACTTCGACACCAATATCTAATTTTCTCTTTACTTCTTAGTTCCTTAGGATGTCGCGTTACCCTTTGCGCAGCCATCACAACACCACTGTTGTACCAGCTACACCAGGGATGGACAGTCCTTTATCTCAGTTATTAGGTGAGTTGTCACCAACAGACTTTGATACTAAAAATGTGGCAGATTCTAGCGCTGCGAGCGCTCAGGATGCTACCCCTGTTCCGGCTGCGAGCCGTGTTCCAGCGTCTGGTGCTACAGCGCTGAGAAACCTTCCTCTTGCCCATGCACAAGCAGAGGAAGAGGATTCAAATCACTCAGAGAAATCGGAGGATGTCGGTTTCAAGGGAAATCCGACCACGGAAGTTTCAGATAATGATTCATCCTGTAGTGATGTAGATAATGGAAATGATTATGAATCGTCTACATC